AGTCCATAGCTCTCTCTCAGGTCAAGACCGTATGTGATTGTTTTTCTGTTTTTCTGCTTCCGTCAAGTAAAAGAATAAATATAAGAGATTCAGACTAGAAAATTGATAGCATAATAGTACTAAAAAGTACAAATACTGTGCAAACAAAATATAGGGGGAAAACACACACACGTGTATATAATTATACATGTGGAAAAACATCTCATAATCTTGCTTAATAGGGAGGCTCACTCAAAATAAAAACAACTCTAAGAACGTAAGAGAAGACAGTGGGCTTCATGGTCTGTGAAACCATATTGCCTTTTGGTGAAGGTTTAAAGTTGCCACACCAAAATATATAACATACAGTATTAGCATACAATATAGTTCTATTACATAATATCGTATATTGCATTATGATATATTGTATATCATGGTACATAAGGAAAATGTCACATAGAGTCCCACTGGGGAAGATTGCATTTGTAAAAGATGTATTACATACTTTGGATAATAGTTTGATTTTTTTAAAAATGATTTTAATGTAAATGTGTATTTTGTTAAAATGGGGGGAGGGGGTTCCATAATCATTAGATAATCTGCTTTTTTTTGTTTTTGGAAGCATGACCTCTTTTGTGACCCTCTCCCTAGGAGGTAGATGAAAGTATATTTCTATTTTTAGTATTTCCCAAACCTGAGCTGAAAAACCTCAGCACTACATACAGAGTAGTGCACTTTATCATCTGAGCTACCCAATGCTCTGGGGCAGTAAGAGGAGGGACAGGAGAAGTGAGGCGTGGCGACAAGGTAGCGAAGTGAGGGGAGAGGGAGCACAGTGTCCTCAGGCTCTGCAGTCCTGTGAGCAAACTGCTCTGAGGAAAACCTTCCGAAGAGCTCAGTGTGCGCTCTACTGCCATCTGCTGTCACCCATGGCTTCAGCCAAACAGAGAGCAAAGATGTCAAGTTTTCATGTCTTTAAGATACTTACAAAATAGTCCAGTCGAAAGTTAGATTAAGACTAATCTCTTCACTTTATGTAATAAACGTAGTATGAAATTCATTTGCTCCACATCTTTATCATCTCTTCGTATTTTAAGTTTTTTGATTTTAGCTGTTTGGGTGGTTTTGTAGTGAGTGGTATCTCTTGATTTCATTTTGCATTCTCATGATGGCTAAGGTTGAGAACTTTTCATATGTGCTTGTTGGTGATTTGGAAACCTTCTTTTAAGAGATGCACACTTTAGTCTTTTGCCCACTTTTCTATTGGGTTGTCTGTCTTTTCCTTATTGATTTGATGAGTTCTTTATTCTGGGTGAAAGGGCTTTGTCCGATATATGAATATTTTTCCTCCATTGAGGTTTGCCTTCTCATTCTTATAACGTTATCTTTTGGTGACCAGATTTCCTAATTTTGATGTAAATTGCAAATTTACATTTATATTTAATCTAAATCTACATAAGTGTAAATTTCACGTAAACTGTAAAGTCCAACTTACCAATGTTTTTCTTTATGGTTAGTCTGTTTGGGGTTTTGTTTAAGAAATCTTGGCCTACACCAAAGTCATGAAGAAATTCTCCTATGTTCTAGAAGTTTTATCATTTAACCTTTCACATTTACATCTACCATTTATCTGAAATTGATTTTTGTGTAAGTAGGGGTAAAGATTCAGTTTTTTTGATTGTGATATTCAATTGACCACTGAAAAACCATCCTTTCTTCACTGCACTACATGCCAACCTTGTCCTAAATCAAGTGACTATATACCTGTGGATCTGTTTCTAGTCTCTATTCACTAGTCTTTGTTCCACTGATCATTGTTTATCCTTGGGCCACAGCCATGTATTTCTCCTGTAATAATAATTATAATACAAGCAAAGCTATTTTCTGAAGCCCCCGGATTGCTTTATGTTGGGTGGTTTGTCTCCTGCTACTTCTTACACTCCCAGCCATGTAACAGTATCTTAATGCAGGCTCTAGTAAGACTAATCTGAGTCTCCCTTTCAGAATTAAACATTAATAGGACTTACTACCACTACACTACATAGCTGACATGTATTTACCATGTGCAAACACTGTACAAACATTAACTCATTTAATCTTTCCAAGAACTCTGTGAGGGAGATACTATTATTCCCTTTTAGAGATGAGGAAATTTAGTCACAAGGAGGTAAGCAACTTGCCCCAAATTACCCAGGTAGTAAGTGGTGGAGTCAGGACTTGAATACGAGCGGTCTGGCTCTAGAGTCTGTGCTTTCATCCACTACCCTTTGCTGTCTCTTTTATAGTCAGTGTATTTTCTTGTGAACCATGACGTGCAGCCAAGCACTAGTGGGTGGGAGTACCAGTCTCCTAGTCCACAGACCATCAATTATTCCAGAGCAATTTCACTGCAGACCATCCCCTCTTGGCCCTCTGTCCATTCACTCACTCTTTGGGGTACTGAAGATTCATTTGAAGGTAAGCTGGTAAACTTAGCTTGGTTAAACTCTCCATACACTGGCTCGATGTAAAAACCCTTAATGACATGGCTCTTGTTTTCCTTTCTAATCTCATCTCCCTCCAAAACCTCCAAAAGTACTGTTCTGTGTTCTTTCATGATGGTCAGTCAGGTGTGGCTACAAGAGGAGACAAAGGAGAGGCTCAGGAAAACAAGGTTTGTTACAGTCACAGGTTCTAGAAACAGGAGGAATGCCACACTCAACAGGCACCACAAGCCATGCAGAGCCACATGGGGAAGCACCAGTGTTGGTCAGGAGGCAGAAGGACAGGTGCAAGGAGAGAGCCTAGGCCAGGCCTTTGTTAGTTCCTGCATTTCTGCAGGAAAGGCAAGGCAGAGCAGGGCAAACAGTTTAGGATTGGCTAGCTTGAATAATGACAGCACGCACTAAGCTATAGGAGTGGTCCCTGGTCGCCTGGTACCTGGTCCTGGGATAATTAAGACAGAGGAATGCTGCCTCCTGGGGTGGACAGGCCAGACAGCAGGTTCGGATCTGGACTGGTTAATTTGCATATCCAAGGCATGCTCCTGCCTGAGCCCTTTGCCATCTCTAAGAATTGGCAAGTCCCAGGAAGGCAGTCTTTGCCTAGCCAGAAAAAGATTTTAAGATGTCAAAACATTGTAACATCCAGAAAATTTAAAAAGGATAAACAATACATGTACCCTGTATTCAAGCTACCGTGTTACCCCACTGCTGTGTGCATCATCTCGGAGCAAATATCGCTCCTTGCTTTGACTGCACTTGTCTTGTTTATCTTTACATCTTAGATGAAATACCACTTTTCTCAGGTCAAAGCTCTGATGACCACAGAGGCGCAGTTAAGAGCTTTCCCCATATCACACCCTGGTGGCTATAGCACTTTTCAGATCACTATAATTATTCATTAAGATACCTATTTCCTCTACTAATCGTAAGACATTTCTGAGGGGCTAGAGGTAGAAATATTGTTTGAATGGACATATAAATGAATGAGCAAATGAAAGAAACTCTCCCTTCCAGAAACAATATTCCACTCTCTTCCCCATTTTTCTAATCTGTACCATGAACCATGTCTACAACATGGTGTGATGACAACTCCTTCTTGCCTCCTTTCGCCGACGGCTGTGACCTCTGCCAGGGCCTCTTCCAGGTGAGGCTGGGATGGCTGAGGTAGAAGTGAGGCCCAAAATTTTCATTGGTCCGCTACTGAGATCAGTAATCTGAGTTTTAATATGATGGAACTAAGTTATTAGCAAGATGGAAAATATATTTGGAGGTACATATTTTAAACTAAAAAATTATAAAACTTCCAGTGTTCATAGTTTACTCACTGTTATAAGTCTATCTCAATGAATTGATCCTTACAAATGGTAAGCAAAGAGAATTATTTCTATTGTAGAGATGCAGAATAAACCTCAAAGATGCCAAATGATTTGAAGTCCCAAAGCTAGTAAGTGACAGGAGCAAAAATTCCAATTCAAATCCAGGGCTTCTGTTACTAAATTTGGAGTATTTTCCATTAAACCAGGCTGATCCTCGACTTACATTTATTTCCCCTCAGCTGATATTTGTCAATATTTACAGACAACACAAAGAATACATGTTTCATGCTTGCAAGCACTGAGTTATGGTCATTTTGAATGCTTCTCGATCTAGGTAACCAGCAAAACCTTCTCAACAGATAGTTTGTTAGGACAGCAGCTTCAGAGAAGTAAGCAAATATAAACATCTCATAACAGAGAGACTGATCTGCAGAATTATTTTAGTGGCCTATGCATTTCTAAGGAGGAGACAAAGCACATGGCAGCTTGTAAAGAACCTCTAGGTGAACCCAGACTTTGTTTCATTATGAAATGATTAACAGACTTATGAAATGTTTCTAAGTAATTAGTAAAATTAGGGATATAAGATGCAAAGTACAGTGAGTTTGTGCTACAGAAATAAACAAAAGATTATGGATGTCATGGAAAATTAGGCACATGATGACAAAATTTAAATTGTGGTAATATCAACATGAGAGTCAATAGTGTATGAAAATCTGAACACATTATTATGTATTTAACCAAAATAAAAATAATATTGTACAAAACTAGTTTAGAATGATTTTTTAAATGTCTTTCCTTTCTCTGTTTTAATTTATCAGCAGGTGAGCCAACTAATCTTATTTTTTTTTAATTTCATTTAAAAACATTCACACTAATATTAACTTCTCATATGTGGAATGAGAGTTGAAGTTCTTTCATATGCTTCTGAGTAGGTGGTTTTAAAAATCCATGCTGGAACATTTATTTTTCTCTGCAGCTTTTATAAAGGCATTTCTATACCGTGACCCTTAAGAAACTGGAGTTTCAAATACTCGACTTATTAGCCCTCCCTCTTTCTCCTCAGTCATCCTCAAGATTCAGGGAAATGTAAAAGATTCAACTTTGGCAATGGCTGGGGACCCCCGCTCCAACAGTGCTGTACTCTTAAATGCTATTTCATGAAACACATATTACTCAAACAGGAAACAGAAACACCAAATGTTTTATTTTATACTGTCAATTCAGAAATATAATAATATTTATATAGTATTACATTTAATTATTTACATAGCATTAACACAGAAGGCAGTAAGAAATGTCAGTTTGGGGTTAATGACCGTTACACTTGAAATACGGTGTCTTTCAAGTTCATGGTATACAACGAAAAGGATTATTAAAGAGTATATTGAAGAAAAATCATACCATGGAAAATTATTACCTACATGGCTTGGAGTTCACATTAATTATATTCTGAATCTTAATATTCTTTTTCCTTATTTAAAAAAAGAATATATGCCTAATGACTTATGCAGCCTAAGTTTGCTTTCAATAAATCACCTTGTTAATAACATGACAAGCTACAGTTCCTTATTTACAATCTTTAAACAGAATCGAAGAACAAAACCTTGGGAATGCTTTTAAAATTTTAATGAAAAATGCATATATAATATAATTATTATAAAATAATCAACAGAGAAAAATAATGGGGACTGTTTCGATTATTAAAAAGTGTTATGCTAAAGCAACATTTAAGCTTTTTTTTGCTATCTAATTTATGAATTGGTGAATTAAATACCATACATACTGGGAAAACATTACTTTCCATTATATCACATTATATATTCAAAAAGCAAGTTACATATCCACAAGTTATGAAAATAAATCTCTGTAGATTAAAAAACAAATAAAAATAATTTGTATTACAAGTTTTAAAAAATATGGCAAACTACCCTGATAATCATGACTTTTTTTTTGCCATAATTATATCGAGTCTCTAAGTTATCTATTCAATAAATTAAATCAGAAATCTTTGATCCACCAATGTTTTGGATGCCAAATTCTTCTGTCCTACTGTATTACGGACAAATCTAAAAATCTGGAAAAAAAGTCAAAACAATTCAGGATGAAAAAAATACATATATAAAAGAATTAAGTATGCACATCAATTAAAATATCTAAATTAAACTAGCTAATTCTCTCAACTATTTATTTTCATGTATTGGACATCTGAATTCCATGGTGATATACAAAATTATTTCAAGACTATTATCACCTTTCATAATATTGAAGCAGTGTATGTTCCTGTTTAGAATGTATTTTTATAAATTAATAATACAAATCCTCTCATGTTCACAGGAATACACTGTTAAATATCTGGCAAGGCAAATTTCCTCTAAGTCTAAAAGCTATGGAAACATCAAAAGAACTGGTAGGGATAGAATTTGTTCATAATTCTAGATTTCTATCAAGGACTAATAAACTATATCTTACTAACTCATATACTTCCTTTACATAGTGAGAAATATATGGGTGATGGTAATAACATTTCCAGAATAAATTAGTCATTTCTTGAAATCTCCATTTCAGGCTCCACACCCATCCATGTAGTTGTCTTTTACCCACATAGGCAGGGAACGTGTGAGTTACAAGTTAAAGTGGCTGAGCCCTGAGCTGGATCTCCAGTGCCTGCCCTTATGTAACGTCAACATCTGGTGCAGAGGGTGAATGGGACTCTAATTACTGTTCACTTCTGATATCTAGGAGATTGGCAATTCAAGCGTCTTCCCACTAGATTCCTTTCACATTTGCTCAAGCAACTTATGCCCACCACAGGACCCCAGTATTTCATTGACCCTGAAGGAGAATGCATAATGAGCTTGGCTGAAACGTTATGTCTTTTTTTGGTGGGGTTAATCATATTCTAAACTTTTACAAATTCCTAGTGAAAGTAGATATTGTTACTCTCGGCAATAAAAATAAGTATCTGCTTTCAACATATTTCTTTTAAAAGAAACCAAGAAAAAATTTTAAAATTTACCTCTTGTTGTAGGTATGTAAGGAAGGCTGCTAAAATAAAATTCTGGTAAGCCAAATCCACAACACAGAAGAACAGCAGATCATAAATAAGAAGAGTGGCTTCATTTCCATAATACAGAACACTGCTGAAAGAATAACTTTCATCTATTTAAACAAAAAATAAAGCAATTTATAAGATATAAATTAGAAATTTGAAAACAGAAAAAAACTGTGATAAACTTCTGGTGATAAAATTGGATATTTAAAAACAGCATACTAGAAACTACTACTTATAATACTTCAGGGCTTATAACAAAAGAAACAAAGGGTATTAAAACTTGCTAATCTAAAAGGTTAGTCAAGGAACTCTGCTCACAAAAAGCAGTTTTAACATTCACATCAAGGGTTGGTAATTGCTAGCACTGCAAGCATACAGTCAACACCTTTCAAAGATCAGGTGATGAATAGCCTTTTTCTATTTGTTTATACAATGAAAGGCTAGAGAATCTTAGAAAGATTCTCTTAGATAGAGTAAGTTAAAAAAGCAAAACAAAACCAGCAAGGACTGGAATGGTACCTAGTGTGCTATGATTTGTGTCTCAAATAGTCCCTTAAGGTTCTGCTCGGAGACCTCTCCTCTTCTCACTCCACAACGAGGGGTTCGTCCTTTGTGGGATGTGAACACCCTCTTAAGATTCTGACAAAAGCTAGAGACTCTTTCACCGGAGGGTAAGAAAAGTACACATAGACGACTCTTGTGCACAATTTCAGGGAGGTCCAGAGAACCACTTAAGCTGTCTATGGATACCAAGTTAAGAATTTCTGTTTGATACAAGGGGATGTCTGCCATGCTGGTAATGTTCCTTTTTGATCAGTGTGCTAATTACAGGCATACATTCAGTTTGTGAAAATTCACTGACATTTAAGCTATATCCTTACAAAATACACACATCTGTATAGATATTATACTTGTGTATCTACTTAAAAAACCAAGCCTGCTCTATATGCTCTTCCTGGGTGATCTTTCACTGCCATTGCTCCAGCAATGACCTCATTTGATGAGACTTCTCAGCTCATTGTGTGCCTTTACTTTCTCCTAAGATCCAGTTCCTTACATTTAATGCTTTACTTGACATCTCTTCCTAGATGTTCCAAAGGTACCTCAAGGCAACATAATCAAAACTAAATTCATCCTCTTTCCCTCATAACCTGGTCCTCCATCTGCACTCCCTGTCTTAGTGAAAGGTACCGCCACAAACCACCTAGTCATACAAGCTGGAAATCCGGGTAATTTTTGACTACTCTTTCTTTCCCACCCCCTTTTTTCCTTAACATCTCTGGAAATCCTTTCTTCTTCTTTATTCCCATCAGTACTGCCTTAGCTCATCTTCTCATCATCTCCCAATAAAGATGAAGATGATGATGATGGTATTATTATTAGAAATAGTAACAACATCTCTTTACTGGGTGCCTACCCATACCAGGTACTGGTACATAACTGCTTCTTTATACATGGTAATACATGTATAAACAAAACAACCTTTAGAGGGTTACACTTAATTTTACAGACAGGGCATTAAAGTTTAGAAAGGGTAAACAATTTTCTCAAGTTCACAAAATCAGTAGACTCAGATTTTGAATCCAAGACCAGAAGACTTTGAAAGCTATATTCTTAATGACTAAGCTACATTGTTATAGTCTTGCATCTCTTTAACTCAACCTATTCACTACTGCTAGAGTAATTCATTCAATTTACAAATCAGATCTGCTTAGGACTTTTTGATCACATCCATGTTCATTAGCAGTGGTTTCCAAATTGTTTTGATCATGTATCCCTATCAGAATAAAACGTTGAGGATGCATCCCACAATAGGCATATTTTATTAATTACTACTATATATATTACACATTTAAAAATATATAAATTAAGAATGATGGAATTGCGAATACACACATAGACATTCTAATATTTTATTCTCAAAGCTCCATGGCTCAGTCTCCACACCTCCTGTGGGAAAAAAATTAAAAAAAAAATTTTTGGAAAAAACTGCTCTAAAGGATAAGGCAAAACTCCTTAGGGTGTCAGACAATGCCTTTGGGATTTGGTCTCTGCCCTTTTTATCTTCCATGCACTCTTTCCCACTGTCCCACTTCATGCCAGTCTTCAATTAGAAAGTTCGTAAGTGCAAAATGCCCTTTCCCCCTTCTGCACAAATGTCTTTGCCTCTCTTCCCTTGACCCTCCTGTTTGACAATAGTAACTTATTTTTAAGACCCAGTTCAAATTCCTCCATGTTGCCTCTCTGGCTTCACCCTGTGTCTGGTTAGATTTTCTACTTTCCTTTCTATACCCAGTATAACCTGTGTCTGCACGGACTTCTATCCCAGCCTCGTTCTACTCACCCATTCACATGCCTACCTTCCACAGTCTAATAAAGAAGATGCTCAAGGGAGGGACCATTGGTGTGGGTATCCCAGGACTGGCCAATTCAATTAACACGTGGATACATGATATCTAGGCCAGGACAGTGATTATACCATTTCCATTCTTACCAAGCCATACAAGAGGTTATCAGTCACATTAAAAGTGACAAATATACTACTTTTTTAGTGATAAGAAACCAGGTTTAGTTACTATTCCTGTCACAGATATCTGTGATTTTTAAGAGTTTGGATAAAATGAAAAATTAAGTGTCAAAAATTAATCACAAATGTTATTCTTCTTTAAGTGTTTCATAAGGTTGCCACTGAATGAATAAAATCTAAATTTTATGTATTTCTTTTACTATCTCTTCTATGTGTATCATTGATTTTGAAATCCAGCTTTTTGATTTTCTTGTAGAATAATTATCTTTTATATATTTGTTTCTTGCTACATGACATAATAAAATGGAACACAGAAAACTACTGTAATTCCATGAAGCTAAGTCCATTATGTTTCTTTGTTTTTATATAAAATTATAAAATCAAAAGAAAATTAATAACTATAAGCACTTTATTTTTCAAACTTTGAAAATAGTAATCAAGTTCAGCAAAGGCATTTGAAGGATACCATTGTAAAAGATGCTTTTTTCCATTGGTTCCATGAATTCCATTCCAAGAATTCTTTCAAGAAGCAATTTATCCTTTATAAAGTAGTCCATTTCCTTATGAACCTGATATAAAAAGCCAGAGATATTTCAAAAATAGCAGTGAAATAAATGCTTCCCAATTTTTATAAAAGTCAGAAGGAGAGAAAATGAAAAATGATAGTACACAAAGAAAATCTGTTCTTCAAAAAAGACTGAATTTACTACACTGGGCTATGTAACAAAATTCTCTTTAGGAATGTTTTAAATTTTAAATGCCCATAGTAGTATTTAGGGTTAGATATACTGAAAATCAATTTCTGAACAAACTTTTCAGTAATACAACCATAGCATAACATATAATGAATAATGTAATATTTTGATAACTAACAAAATTTCAGTACAGACGTATTTTAAGGTGATCATCATTATGCTAATAGATATGTAAAATATTATTTTACTTTTATATAATATAACTCTATCCTTAAGGCACAGTATTAATTTTCACAGCCGAAAAAAAGGGGGCAGGGCTCTAAACCCACTGACTTGGTTGACTGAAGAAATAATTGACACTCCTGGTTAATTTTTTAAAAATTGCATCTGATTCTAGCTTAAATAGAAATGCTGACATACATACATGATCGATGAAAGAGCCAAGAAATTTATTCATAGTATGATATGCTTTTATACTCTGCTCAAAAGTACTTGCTGATGAACTCAATAGTCTAGCAGGGCCATTTTTCTAATATGAAAAAGAGAAGAATAAATGGAACATGCCTTATGTTCTTGTTATCGAAATAATATGAAATATTGGCAAATTACATTTAAATTGTACTTTATACAAACCCTTGTTAGTGTCTCATGAATTCTGTCATAGTGTTGTCTCATCTGGCTAGAAATTGCAATCTGAAAAGTCTGACCGTCGGTGTTTGGCACCAAACCTCTCTGGCTACACAAACTTTCCTGAAAAGATGTAAATTAAGATCAAGATTATGAAAATTTTGTCTATCTCAAAAAGAAAATACAACATTTTTCTTTTAGTTGGTATCATATATTACAAGATTTGGAAGCCAACTGAAATTTTACTGGAACTATCTTTGAGATAAAGAGATTCTAACATTATCCAAAGTTCCCACTCCCCTCTAGGTTTTACTAATTTCTATTTTGTCATACTCCCTTGCAAGTCTTTATATCATCTCCTTTACTCTGCCCTACTTTTAAAAAAAAGTCTCATGCTAAGTTCATTGAATATTGATATTCTTAGCTTTTCTTTACAATTAATTTTACTGCTCTTTAATACATAGCAAAAAGTCTAGTCTTAGAATTAATTACTTTTATAAATGGTCTTTTTTGTTTTCTAAACACTTTTAAAACGTTTCCTTAATTAATTCCAAAAGGTAGTGATACATGACCGAACAGTTAATGTTACAGACCAGATATCCATTTCAGGTCTCCTTGACATGACGTGAATCTTGACCACCATAAAACATGTAACGTTTTGCCCTACCCCACACCTAGCCAATTCCCATTGGTGCTTCAAGGTTCAGCTCAAGTATTCTTGCCTCCATTCTCTTGCCTTTATTTGCCTACTCCAGAGCCTAATATTCTCCTTCTTTGTCTAAACCTCATCTTCAAACATAATATAACACTTGGTTTTTCTACTGATTTAAAGGACATCTATGCGTAGTGAATTTCTCTATTTAAAAAAATGTTTTTTTTCCTGATTAAAAAAGCACATGCTATAGACAGGTACAAAAAAGAAAAGAAAAAAAATCACCTATGCTATCAATACCAAGAGATACAGGTATTTTAAGGTATTTCATTTCCAGTTCATTGTCTAAGCATATACATATAGACGGCACAAAACTGGATCACAACGATCTCTTTTTCACTTAACATTAGACATTGAGCACCTGTCCATGTCATTAAATCTTCTAAGAACATGATTTTTAATGTCTAAGATTTCACTGTATAGGTAAATCAATTAGTATTCTCTCATTTTTACATATGTTTTTGCCCTTATAAATAACCCCTGTGACGAAGATCCTGAACCTAATTAGCTATTCACATTGCTAATTATTTCCTTGAGTTAGATTCACAGAATTAGTGAGTATATTAAGAGAGTAATGAATTCTTAAAAAACTCTTGGCATATACTGTCAAACGCCCTCTACAAGGTTTGTAAAATTTCTCTGAGACCAGTAGTTTTATGGGTGCCCATTTTACTGTCCTTGATGCTATTAAGCATTTTTCCCCTAAAGTTTGCTAATTTGAAGACAGTAAACCTATTATTTTTAAATCACTTCTTTCATTTTTTATGAGTTAAACATTTTTTAGAGGTTTATTAGTCTGTTCTATCTCTTATTTATGTATTTTAAAAAATCTTTTTGTCATTTTTCCATTGAGGTTTTAACTTAGTGTTTGCTTATTGATTTGCATGACTTTCAATACTGTTATCAATATCTTTGTCATATTTACTATGAGAATTTTACCCTAATTGATTATGTCTTTTATTCATATAATTGTTGGATATGTAAATGTTCTATACTAATAAAGTAAAATCGACTAAGATTCTCTTTTTGATGCTTTGTACGTTTTATGCTTAGAATGTCATCTCCCAATCTGAAACATTCTTTTCTAGGTTTTTATAGTTTTGTTTTTTACACTTAACTTTTCAATTCAGGTGTAATTTCTAATAGTTAACCAACTGATTCAGTTCAATGTATTAAGTAAATCATTCTTCTCCGAGAGGCTGTTATCATGTATTACATTCTTACAAGTCATAGGTATAGCCCCTTAATCAGTAAATCTTCTTGGTTTTTCCTCTTACATATATATTTTTACTTTATAATTCTCTCATGGAAGTTTTCTAATGTACATAATAGAATAATAATCCATCCATGACTCAACTTCAACAACTGCCAACATTTTACCAATGTTATTTTGTCTATCCTCCCAACTTTTCGTTTTTCTTTCAAAGCAAACCCCAGATAACATGTCATTTCATCTGTAAATACTTCCATATGTATCTCTAATAAGATCTTTAAAAAACAACATGCCATTTTCACACCTAACAAAATTAACCCTTCTTAACATAATTTAATTTTTAGTCCATTAGATCTCTCAGATTTTTTTCCCAAAGATTTTTTATAGTTGGTTTGTGTGAATCAGGATTCAAACAAAAATCTACACATTGTATTTCATTGTTTTGTTTCTTAAATCTCTCTTACATGCTAACAGTTCTTCCACCCCAGCCACCAGCCCTCCTTTTCTGTTCATGCCTTTGACTTGCTGGAGACACTGGGTCATTTGTCCTGTGAGACATTCTGGACCTGGCTGATCGCTTCCTGTGGTATTATTTCATTTGTCTCTCTATCCCCTCTATTTCCTGTAAACTGGTGGTTAAATCTAGAGGCTTGATTATATAGCAGGTTCAATTTTCTTAGGCAAGAATATTTCATGGGTGATGTTATGTACTTCCTACTAAGTCATAACAGGAAGTGCATAATGTCAGTTTTCCTAATTTTCACTTGTAGTAAGATTGAGCCACTGCGTTCAGATTATGTTAACCGGATTCCTCATTATAAAGTGCCCTATCAACCTTCACTTAATTGTTTTAACATCCATTGATGGTTATAGCCTATATGCTTTAATCTATTAGTCTTTACAAAATGGTGATTTTCTAACTTAGAATTCCTTTTACTTTCTTCTATATGTAAGAACTTTCCCTCATATATTATTTGGTTACTCTGAAATACAGTCCACATAGGAACACAGGATGAAATTTGATTTTTTTCCCTTTATCAATGTTCACGGTAATGAGTTGGTACCCTAGCAACTTTGAAAAGTACTCAATGAGGATTTTTTAAAAATACTATTACAAATCCTAGATATCTAAGAAAAGAGAACCCATCTCTCAACTTAAAAACAAAAAAGATGTAAAATATATTCATACCGCTTCTCTTTTAAGATTCATATTCATTTCTTCCATATTAGTATCTGCATGTCCATGTACTGATCTACCATGAATGTAATATCCAAAACATTTGTGGGACAACAGAAACACCGATATCTATAAAAAGAGAAGGATAAGGAGCAATTAGCAACTTACCTAAAAAACAACAAAAATTAAGTTTTTCTTAAAATTGCTTCCTTTCTCTCAAAATACTAAGGGTTGAATTCTTTGAAGATATATAAAGAGAATAATAAGGTAACAAACGATAATGAGGTTATTAAAAAAAGTATATGGAAAAGAGATTGAAGATATTTTCCAAGAAAGGAAGAAATAGGGTTGACATATAAAAACTATTCAGGGAGTCTGGGCTGAGTGAACTATTTGGTGGCATAAGGAAGTCATAATTAAGAAAATGCAAATAAACAAGAAAAAACTAAGGCAGTAACTATTAACTTGTAACTCATCGTAACTTTCTGGGATGTACAACCAGTGGAAATTAGACTAAAAATCCAATCATATCAAATCACTTTTAAAGCCTCTCTTAATGGACTCATGACCTTTAAAAAGGGGAATAACAGTTGCAAGATACAGTCAGAAAGTACTTACATTGCTCATACAGCATAAATCAACAAACTGTCGAATTTTATCTTCTATAAATCTCTCATAAAAGACAGCAAAGAACACGATCTGAAACATTAAGCCAAGTTCATGCTTATTAGCTTTTAGGATTTAATTTTCTTTTATAGCCACAAGGTAGTTATCTTAAGAAAAAACAAGTCCCAACCAAGAACACATTGGTCTCTAATGGTTCCTATGGGATAAAATCCTACTTATCATTTCTGATTCTTCTGTCAAAGGAAGAACGTTTTGGAATTGTGTTAAGATTCATTGAGGGAGCTTATTTTGAATTTTAAAAACTTTTCTATGCCATTAAAACAAGATAGGACAAACAGGACGAAAAGAAAAGAGCTTTAAAAAATTTAGAATCAACCAATGTAATGACCAGATTTATGTCTGGTTCTGCAATTCTACCCATCTCCTAAATTCCAAAAGCCGTTAAAGAAGTTGCTCCTTTTCAAATTAATCTTCTCTGACAGAGTAGCATATAAAAAGCATATATGCACATATATGCGCAGACTGTGCCTGTGCCTGTGCAAGCTAATACCTGCTTCTACCTGTCATGGTAAAACTTCCCCCTTAAATATTCATTCCCCACCCAAAATAAAAGACACCTGCTCCCCTTTGTTTCAGGAGGCTCAACTTTCGAAATGATTCTGTGAGGTCTCCTATTTGCTGCAAATAAATTCTACTTCGTGTGACAACTACTTCTGGTGGAGGCTCTGATACTAACTTGCTAGGAAAGTGAACCCACTTTGGTTTGATAACAAGATGGTTGTTGCTGCCCCAACAATCCTTTCCCCTTTCTTCTTAGTGACAAACCCCTCCTTTGAGTGGGCACACTGCTGCCCAGCTGAAAGATGACAGTGCAGCGAGGTGTGGCTATGTGACTAAGATCTGGCTAAGCAGACGTTGAACAGCACTTCTGAAAAGGCTCTTAAAGAGGAGAGGGCGAGCTTTTCTCCCCAGACTCCCTCCTGCAACTCCATCAGCCATTATGGACCATGAGGTGACCTTAGAGATAAAAGTCCTGAGTGCAGAGCAGAACAATAGGCTTCTGGGTTCTGACAGCAGCCACCACGCTGGCCCTGCATCATTGACCTCTGCTCTTCTTTCTCATGGGAGAGATAAAGTTCTCTTTTATTTCAGCCACTGCTGAAATATGGAAAGCTTCAGATGGTATCCTTTAAATTCTCTACATCCAAATGAATCCTATCTATTCACAAAAACATATTGGTATGTATACAAAATAAAATATTTTCTTACTATTATTCCGATGATAAACATCAAACCCCATACTCATTTGATCCTACCTATTTCAAATTCTAATTTCCCTTTCTCTTTCTTTTCTGATTATCAAATTCTCTCTCACTAGCTCTATCACGGTAGCTTCAAGTCTGAACAAGTCTTACCAATTTAAAATAAATGGAAACTTAAGAAGTCTATTCGCAGGTTACAGAATGCCACTTGGATCCATTTCTGTAGGAATTTTGGGATTTCAATCCCAAAAGATCTTTAAAAATAAGCTTTTTAAGGCAGTATTGATTTGCCAGGTTATAGGAAGTTTAACTTGGTCTATCCAGAGGTCCCATCTTTATTTGTTTATTTAAAAGTTAAAGGAATTTTTAATAAAACAGAAAGGCTCCTTCCATTCATAGGCGTGTCTGGAAGCAAGACAGAAGTACAGATATCAGAGTTAGTGCTTTAGCTGCTGATGCTTTCTTTTCTTTCCTTTCATTCTTTTGTTTTGTTTTGTTTTTTAAGGTTTAAGAAGATTAAGGAAGTAAGCATAGAAGAGATCCTCTGCTAGAGCCATGGCACCTGAGGTTGAGAAAATTTATTTTTGGTTTCAGCTATTCCAATGAATATTTCAAAGAAAATCTCACAGGGTACTGGCAATTTGAATGAGATTTAATGATATATTAATAAGTGTAAACAATAAGCTATATTTTAAAAGAAAAAATATTAAGGGAAGCTTAGCCATCCCTGTAGTTTTATACAAAGTAAACTAGGAATCCATCCTATGACTAGAAAGCTGCAGACTGTCAAAGACCCTTCAGGGCACCACTCCTGATAAGACAGGAACTCTAAAGTCAGATTGCCTGGGTTCAAATTCCAATTCTGCCAATCTCTAACTGCATGACTTAAGGCAACTATTTAACCTTTCTGGGCCTCCGGGTCCTTGTCTGTAAAATAAGGATACTAACAGAACCTATCTCTGAGGGCTATTACAAAGATTAAGCAAGTTAACACATATAATGCAATTAATTAACACAGTGCCAAGCTTATAACACTACGTAAGAATTAGCTATCAGCTACTATTATTATTCTTGTGGTCACCTTTTTTCTGCTACAGAAATCAGGACGTGAGTAATATCTGAGGATAATTAGTATGTAAACACAGTTATAATTATAGAGAGGCAATGTTGCTTATGCATAATATAATCTCTTGTTACCTGTATAATTCCAATGACTAGCCAAAGAGCAGAAGACACTGCATATCTCAAAATGCGGCTATAAGGAGCTATGTAGCTAGATGGGCTTCTGGAAAGACTAGAGGATGAATCCATTAATGCTAAGTTCTTGAATCCTACAACCTGGAGTAAAGAGGAAAAATAATAATTTAAACAGACATGGATAAAGAAAATTCTTCCAGTCTGAAAATGAGACACTTCTGCCTATTTCTTACCTTGAAAAACTAAAATATTCAAGTTTCTACCAACAGAAGAAAATCTAGATAAAAATAATTATCCAGTATTTTAAATAGAAAGTATTTAATAAAAAATATTTAGTTAGTTCATTTGGTATTCTCTTCAATATGCCTAAGGGCCAAATATAACTTTATTATCATATACACTGACAAAACTCAAAAATTTCTGCCAAAAGAATAAAACTTTCTTCAGTAAACTACCAATGAACAATCAGCATTTCATAAGTTTTTAACATATGCCAGGCATTATACAAAATACTTTTCATACTTTAAAATAGTATTTTCCAAAGTATCTCTTGAGAAGAGAGATCTTCCTTGATAAAAGGAAGACATGGTTAAATAAGTTCTGCCGGTATATTATACTCACTTCACGCCTTCCACTCTCACAGAATAAAGGCTCTGGGAAGTTTTATGGCAGAGGAATTCTACATGACTTTATAGAATCCAGTGTTTTCAAAACTTACTTGACTATAAAACTTCTTTCTCATGCAACATGTCTTAAAGCTTTAAAAAACACTGCTATAAATGAATTTTGGAGATATTGTTCATATGTCCCAGGGACACACACATTCTTCTCCTAACTTTAAAAAAGGAAAGGAAGGAGAAAGGAAGGAAAGAAGGTAAAAAGTAGGAAGGCAGACAGAAAGACATAAGAGTTAATAACTGATATCTAACTTTATTTAAGCAGCTAATTCCCGAGAAAACCTGTTACCCATATGAAGTTTCCATATTTCAGTCTCATATTCAGTACTGAATACTTCCTTTAACAATTCCAAACAGATCCATGAAATAACTGTAAGAGATCATAAGCACGTACCCATTCACTGTATCTGGTTCAGCTATAGCCCCAGCTCTTAACACAGAACACAGTCCATAGTAGGTATTCAATGATAATTTGTTGGAAAATTTCAATCTTATAATAGTGGGTCTAATACAGAAGCGAGAATATGAGTCACGGAGGGAGGGAGCTTTTTCAAAATACAGATACCTAGAGTTGGTTCAGAGCTACTGAATCAACCATAATCTCTAGGAGTGGGGTGAGGCATAGGTATTTTGAAAAAGCTTCCCAGGGGATTCTGCTACAAACCAGTGGTTTAAAAGCCACTCTTTAACTAGAGTAGTCAACTTCAGAGACAGAAAGTAGAACGGTGGTTGCCAGGTGCTGGGGAGAGGGGAAAATGGGAGTTGTTGTTTAATGAGTACAGAGTTTCAGTTCTGCAAGATGAAATGAGTTCTAGAGATTGGTTGCCCAACAATGTGAGTGTACTTAATGCTACTGAACTATATATTTAAAAATGGTTAAGATGCTAAATTTCATATTATGTGTATTTTACCATGATTCTTAAAAAGCTACTCCTTTTTAATGGCTTGATAACAATAGTTTAACCTTTAGAAAACCCTTCCACTGACATGAAAACATGAAATATTAAATTAATATTTATGAGTACCCATAAGTTGCATAGAATTAAGTCAAACAGTTTATACCTCCAAAAGGAAGAGGACAGTAAGTACTTGAAAGAGTGGATTAATTTTTCTCACAGTCTGAATTTCATTCCATTCGTTTGCTACAAAATATGTTCTCCATATGCTCACAGGAACGGTAGCACTCCGAACACCACCCTCACCTGGCCAGGAAGATAAAATGAGTAAAAGGGTTTCATCTTCTTTGCTCTGCAAGGGTAGCAAAAGAATTGGTACAAATGGTTATTTCAGTTACCTTCAACAGCTTTAAGAACCTTTCCTTTAGGTCGCTCCCAGTCGATAAAGAATATATCTATGGTAATCTGGGATATGAGCTTATGTAAAAATTGCAGAGCCTGAGAAAGACAAACAAAATACCTAAAAGTATCTGCATTAAGCCTGCTTATGAAACCAATACTGATTCTTTAAGAAACAAACATACCATAATCACAAAAACGTATAATTTTCACAAATGACAAATAAAGTTAAAATACCATTAGGGGATCACTAGAAGCTCATCAATATGAAATCACAAAATTCACAGAATTTTTATACACATATTTATTCACTTTCCCTTCCTCCACCTTTCTTTAAAACAGAAATATGAAAAAAGGAGACATACTACCTCCTCCTTATAGGGGCCTTGCATAATTGACTCTCCCAAGAGTTCCAAAAGCATACTTTGTTTTCTAGATCATCTGACTTCTTTCTAAGTAAAGATATTTTTCAGCCGTAATTTGCTTGCCCTAATAAAAGTTTTAAGATTCTCTGTCTTCTTTCTATTTCTCGTATTGAGATTTTTGATTAAAAAAAAGTGTTGTTGAAACACATCTTTTTCATTTACAGAAGTAATATGTTTGAACTGAGGCATTCCTCACAGTAGATGCATTATTGATTAAACAAAGGACAAAAATCTAAGTAGGGGATGGTTCCCCTCTTCAAGGAGCTCATGGATCAGGGGGAAAAGCAGACACTTAATCATCACAATACAACGGGATGAGATCTACCACAGAGGCGTGTAAAGAGCTTCACATACATTGGCAGAACGATGAAGTAGGGAGAGGGCTGCCATGGAAAGAGGAGGAAAGGAGTATAGAGACAGAGAAAACAAATTCTAAGATATCAGCACTTTATCCAGGGTGGTACCTTCTACGCTCAATTATCAGAGACAAAATTCATGCCGGAAGGCATTTTGTCCTTGTTGTGAACGCATCATCAGACTTTAAAGAAGAAAGTCACAAAATAAAATATCATTTTATCAAATTAGCTATGAGTCATGTTAATCCAAAAATATTTATGGCTTCTTAGGAGAAATTATTTAAGGCAGATTTTCAGAACGAGCTATTATAAATAAAAACAGACTTCCTATGTAAAACAGAATAATTCATGCTTTCTTTCAGAATCAAACTAAATTTTACACCAAAGATGTTGAAAGCATTTTAATTTTAAAGACTTATGAGTTTATTAGCAGGTCTTCTAAACTCGGTAACTTCTCCTTTGAAACCTACCTTCAGAGCAAAAGCACACCCCACATAAGTAACAAAACGTTCTTCCTGAGCAGGCCTTGGTAGCAAAACAGAGACAGACTTCTGTGCCTATGATAAAAATTATGCTGTTAAATATGACCATACAATGTTTTCACTAAGTACAATTTATAACCAAAAGAAAGCATAAGTGAGGGAGGTGGTGACACACTCAGTAAACACAGCATACTCAGGGATGGTGAGTTTCACATTTTTTTTAATACTCTTGATCGGAAATACCCACAAATAAAAATAGTTCCTTTAAAAAGAAAGCTTGCCAGTTACTCAGGTATTGGCATTTAGGTTAAATTCAGAAACTCACTTACTTTGAAGAAAATAAGCCAATAAAGACCTGTTCCCACGGTGATGATAAAGAAAACATTGGCCAGATCACCAGCATAGTATACCAAGAATTTCATAACTGTCTGCAATTTAAAAAGAGAATTAAAGCTGTTATAGATTCAATCTATTTATACCATCACTTTTAATAACATATTATCTACCCAGTTTCTCAAGCTTGAAGCCTCATTTCATGTATCCAAGGGTCAGGTAGGAAGACCAACTGCAGACACTTCCTCGACACTTTCTGGTCCATTCCCAGTAGCCTCTGTCTTATTCAACTTTTCTCATCTTTCACCATGTAAGAAAGTTAGAAATGCTTCCTAATTTTCTCCTAGTTTGGAACCATTCTCCCCAATCTATCCTCTTTACTATCACAAGAGTTAGCTTTCTAAAATATAAATGTGATTGTCACTCTCCTTAAAAATGTACAGTGGCTCCTCACTAAAATATAAATTCTTGACTCAGAAAGTCCTTCACAACCTGGACCAAAACTAACTATTTGTAGCCTCATCTGCCAGTTCCAACCACCTAATAAATGATTAACCACTCCACACTGTCATCTCAAATATTTTGTGGAACAAAATGGGCATTTTTCATCAAACTTTCCTCCCTTCTCTTTGGCAAACTCTTGTGAGCTCTCAGGGCAGGACCATGTCTGTTTGTGCTCACTATCACATCTCCCAGCGCCTGGTAGAGGGCCTGGCATTCAGACAGCAGGCCCTCAGTGACTATTTGTGGAATACACAGATAACCCAGCTTAAAGTTCACTTCTCTGGGAAGCCTTTCTTGACTATCCCAAACAGTAAACCAAGCCCCCTCCTCCAATTCCTTGGCACATTGGCTTTGGAGTCAGGAAGATACCCAAGCACAAACAAGTTACTTTGTTGCCTTTCTCATGTTCATAATGAGCTAAATGGAAATACCACCCATTACTGAGTTGCTGTAAAAATCAAATAAATAGAAAATTTATTTAACCTCTGCCACAATTTCATCATGTGTAAAATGGAAATAATAATAATAAAAACCAACTTCATAGAGCTATTGTAAGGATTAAATGAATTATACATGTAAAGCTTAAAATAGTGCCTGGCCTGCCCCATGGCCGAGTGGTTAACTTCGCGTGCTCCACTTTGGCGGCCCAGGGTTTTGCCAGTTCGGATCCTGGGCCTGAATATGGCATTGCTCGTCAGGCCACACTGAGGTGGTGTCCCACATGCTACAACTGCTACAACTGAAAGGACCCACAGCTAAAATGTACAACTACGTACTGGGGGGATTTGGGGAGAAAAAGCAGGAAAAAAAAAAAAGAGGATTGGCAACAGCTGTTAGCTCAGGTGCCAATCTTTAAATAAAAAAAAAAAAACTGCCTTGTGCATAATAAATATTCAATAAATGGTAGATAAAAATAAAAACAAAAACAAATATAAAAAAAGATTAAATGAGAGGTAAAATTATAAAGTTAATGGAATAAAACATGGAGAATATCTTTTTGCTCTTGAGATAGGGAAGGCTTTCCTAAACAAGATCCTAAAAGCACATGCCACAATACGAAAAACTATTCAGATGTGACAATATCAAAATTAAGAGTTTTTGTTAACCAAAAGAACACATAGGTAAAATAACAAATGGGTCACATTTGGAAAAGAAATTTCAACATCAAAAACCAAAAGGGCGGGGTCAGGCTAGTGGCATAGTGGTTAAGTTTGTGTGCTCCGCTTTGGCGGCTCAGGGTTTGCTGGCTGGAATCCTGGGCACAGACCTACACACCACTCATCAAGCCATGCTGTGGCGGCATCCCACATAGGAGGACTAAAAGGACTTACAACTAGGATATACAACTATGTACTGGGGTTTGGGGGAGAAAAAAACTAAAAATAAAAAAATGAGGAAGATTGGCAACAGATATGAGCTCAGGGCCAATCTTCCTAGCCTCCCCAACCCCCCCCCACACCCGCCAAAAAAGCATAGCTTTAAAAAAAAGAGTTCCAGTGATCTAAGTCTGGATGTGTTCCCGATGGTGCTGGTGGGGTGCTGACTAGAAAAAAACAACAAACCAAAAAGGGATTCATATTTACAAAATATAAAAAAAACTCCTTTAAATAAATAAGAAAAACTGGAAACCTAATAGAAAAATGGGCAAGGAATATAAACAAGCAGTTCACAGGAGGGGAGACCCAAATGATTAATAAAGCATATGAAGAATAATAGAAAAATGAAAATTAAACTCAACAATGACATACTACTTATACTACCATTGGGAAAACATGGAAAGGCTGGCAAAATATCAAGCGTTGGTGAGGATGTGAAGAAACAGGAAGGGCATGGCGGATGGGAGTGCACGCTGACCTACAGCAGTGTCGTGGGGAAACGAGGCAGGCATATGCCACTCCTCATTATACTACTTGAGAAACTAAGGCAACTTTTTATTCATCCTCTAGCTGGGTCTTATTGGTAGGATATAAAATAATCAAAAGATAGAAATAGACTTTATGAACTCCTCAGATCATACTTGCAAATCAATCATGGGACTCCCAATGCGCCTCTTCCACCCGGCTGTCTTCAAAAGAGACGATAAAACAGCTAGTCCACCCAAAACACCCAACGCAATCTAAAGAAAAAAAACAGAATATTTTGGAATTTATGTAATTTCCTTCATCAATGTCCAAAAACACTGTAAATAGGGGCTGTCTCATGGTATAGTGTTTGAGTTCGGTGTGTTTTGCTTCAGTGGCCTAGGTTCACAGGTTTGGATCCCAGGCATGGACCTATATCACTTGTCAGCCATGCTGTGATTGCAACCCACAAACAGAGTAGAGGAAGACGGGTGTGGATGTTAGATCAGGGCTAATCTTCCTCAAGGAAAAAACGAGGAAGATTGGCAACAGATGTTAACTCGGGGCTAATCTTTCTCAGCAAAAAAACCCAAAAAAACAGTAAACAGAAAGTAAGGAGGTACTCAAAAAACTGTGGTGGAGGGTATGCTGAAAGGACATAGGGACCAAACTGAAGGAACTCCCAATGGCCAAATTTGGGAAAATTTGAACAAGAAAACAGACAGTAATGGATTATAATCACCAGAATAAATAAATATCCACAAGTTCACACTGATTTAAATAAATAATTGAATAAATAAATCAACGTGAGCAAAGAGATAGCTCTTCTTTACAGTAGAATTCCAATTAACAAATATAGAAGAAATGACAGAAATAGAAAATCACCATCAGCCAAATATCACAGTAATACTTTTAACAGGCAAGAATTATCAATGGATGCAAAAATGAGAAGGCAAAAGAATAATGAGTAGCAGGATATTTGTGCAATCTCAAAGTATCTCCCCACAACATATTTATTAATTATAAATGGAAAAACCTGTACAGTGGAGAGCTCTGCAGACACCATCTCAGCCACATGATGAACGGGAACATCACCAGTAGTAAGACACACTGACATCAAGTATCTTCTGATTTCATTTACTGAGAAGGGCACAATACCATTTCTGTGGTATCTGTGCTAAAATTATATTTAATCATGGGAAAATAAATTGACCAATACTCTTCAAAAATCTTAGGGTCAGTCATGAAAGACAAAGAACAACTGAGCAACTGTCACAGATTGAAGGAGACTAAAGAAACATGACAGCTAAAAGTAACATGCAACTCTGATCTGGGTTCTGCAACAAAAAAAGGATAATGAAAAAACTTATGAAATTCAATGAGTACTTAGATTAGTTAACAAGACTACATCGATATTAATTTTATTGATTACGATCATTGTACTATGGTTATGTAAGATGTTAACAACAGTAGAGGCTGGGTTAAGGATATATGGCAGATCTATTTTCACAACTTTCCTATACATGTAAAAATTTTTTTTGTGTGTGAGGAAGATTGGCCCTGAGCTAACATCTGTACCAATCTTCCTCTACTTTTTGTATGTGGGACACCACCACAGCATGGCTTGATGAGCAGTGTGTAGGTCCACACCCAGGATCCAAACCCACAAACCCCAGGCTGCCGAAGCAGAGCATGCAAACTTAACCACTATGCCACTGGGCCAGCTCCCAACTTTTTTAATTAAAAAATATGCTGTAAACATTTTAACAGGTTAAAATAAACTCACATCTGTCTGGACATGTGCTTCTCCTTGATTCATTTCATATTCAACTGAGAAAGAAACCTGATGTTTAAAAGAAAGCAAATCAGCCATACTGAAATTATATAATACAAACCTACTTTTACTATAAAAATGCATTTGTAGCTAGATTTTACCATAAATGCTGTACTTTTAAACTAGCGATATTCCTAGAGCTGATCCTTACTTATACATAAATGGATATGCTTCTGGGAATTATTCACGCTGCTGTGACTGCCCCTTTTGAACACACACTAAAGAAAGAGAGGTTACTTACCAGCAGTCAAACCAAACTAATCAAATTTCATTTTCTGATAGGTTCCTATAACTAAGAATGTGACTGATGTTGTGTACCAAGAATTCAGCAACTGGCTAAACAATAATACCATAAGAAGGAAAGTTAGTCAAAGGGCTGAACAAGAATCTTAGGGAAACCACTACATTAAGAGAAAGAAGAGCTATAAACGGTAGGAGAAACAGGACCATGAGAGGCAGGAGAGGCATGACATCTAAGTCTGACCACGGTCATAGGTAGGGAGTTTCAGGAAGAAGGCAGGCAAGAGTACAGTGTCAAATGTTGTATAAATGTCAAGTTAAAGAAATAAAGCCAGTGTGTGTGGAATTGCTGACCTTCACAAAAGAGGTTTTTAAAGAAGCAAATCACAAGAGTCAGACAAATGGCAAATGATGAAAGAGTAAATGGCCAGGAAATCAAGCAGAGATATAGGACAGAAAGCTAAAAAGCTGGCAGAACTGAGGAAAAATCTTATAGTTTGGTAGTTTGAGTTTAGTTTGTTTTTGAGAAGGGACAATCAGAAAGGTGTTGTAAGCAAAGGAAAGGGACCAGCAGAGAAACTGGCTGAATAAGGAGTTGGAGGTGAAACAGGATATTGAAGAAAGTACTGTAAACAAGTATAGAAGATTAGCTTAAGAGAAGAGGAAAGGACCTTTTTTCTTAGAAACAGGAAGGATAATGAAACAGAGATTCTCAAGAACTGAAGAGGAAATGTAAGGAGATTCATATTGGATGGCCTTGATCTGCTCAGTAAAACAGGAAGGAAGGTTATTTGCTTTTGGTGAGATGGCAGAGATGTAGCCAGATGCTTAAAACTAAATTTTGCAACAGCTGTCATGAGAAAACAAGGAATGATGAAAGAACTGGACATTCTACAATTGGAATGAATTTGAGGTGGACTTTGTCAGGATAGTTTCATGATTCTCTCAACTCTTCTTCTATCACTTATTTTCTGATTTGTCAAGACTTAGTTTGGAATATTTTGGACAGGAAAAATCTTTAAAGAAAAGACTCAGAAGTTTTTTATATTAGAATAAATATAGTCTTGGTTACCCAAGACTTGGTTACCCAGGAATGATCCCTCCAGGAAATTTTAAACCAGGTAGTCTTTTGTTGTTTAAGTGTGTTTCTGGACGTCCTTCTCTTCTCATTACAGTCTATACAAGCTCAGGCAATGGAAACTAATTTTAGCATCGAATTAGGTAATACAAATGAGGATGTGAAATCTTTCAGTGAAAAGTTACGTTATGTGCCTACTCTTTGCTTAGTGAAAGCCTGAATCCAGTACAGCTTAATGAAAGCCTTGTACAGCAGCCAAGTACAAGCACAAGCACGAGAGACAGACCAAAAGCACTGGCTGAAGAACACTAAAATTCAGAAAAGGAAAATAGTAGACATCAAAAGCTATTAGTGAGTCTTGGAGGTAAGGAACGTTTACCCTCAATTCTCATGTTTCTAGAGTGGGAAGGGGATATCTACTTATTCTCTGTAAGGAAAAAGTATAGAATGATTACCTCTGGTTTGGAGTTCTACCTACCCTTCTTTCACTTACCGTTCCTCAAAGCAGGGATGCTTTATCTGACTGGTGAGGTGGAGAGGTGGAACTGAGAATGTGTGGCTTAGCCTTTTTCAGGCTCATTCTCTTTGGTGTAGCCTATCTTTAGGGTGTACACAATCTCTCTTCCATATACAGGCCCTTCCAGGTAGCACAGGGCTTTAGTTCTTTGGTTAAGTTTAACTGAGCTGGGGACGTAACAGGAAGCCTACTTGGCTGGAGGTCCAAACTGCATTCTCTAGTTCACTTTAACACTACTAGTTCTAAAGCTGATAATCTGAATCTTCTTCTGCCCATTGAACTGTCTTTCTCTCAAGAGGCAATACTGGTGAGAATAGAACACACATACCCACTGTAAAGTTTGAGCTCCTGGTTTAATTAGACAAGGAGAAAAAAATCTTAACAGAAGCAAGGTGGCCAAAGAGGACAGGAGCAGAAGCTGCATATCTCAGCATACCCCAGGATCCCAAACAGGGATGCCCAGCTGCTGGTGATGCTGTCTACTCAAAAGCTTAATTCTCGCTTTTTGATACTCAGGATCCGTAAGAACTCACCTCTTAACCTTATTAGTAAAAAATAATTAACACCTGACTATATAAAGTGCAGAGTTTATTTAAAACTTGAAAAAGGACTAATTGTCCTTTGACCATAATGTCAACTGCATCACTATTATATTGACACAAATAGAGGCACTGATTAGTAAGGAACTCACCTTCACAGACTGGCTGTTGGGATCTTTGACATCAATATCATTGTAAGCAATGGTAATTAAGGGAGGGTAGATGTTTCCATTTTTTGTGTTGGGTACAAGGTGGATGCTGTTTAAAAGAAAATACATTTTTAGTCATAAATACATGTAGGCCCTTAAACATACATTTAACTTATTTCTTTCAAATTTAACACGGATAGTCTTGATGATCTCAGAACTAACTAGTTAATAAGGACTAGGGAAGGTCAAATATAAACAAACAGTAACAACACAAGCTATCTTAAGCGGTCAAAACTTTAATATTAACATACACCCTCCAAGACAGATTAGAAACTCTTCGACCTATGTAGGTCCTATGAAGTTTACAATGAAATAACTGAAATACTGCGAACCACCTTTGAGGAATACTCAAAAGAGAAGTGTTATATGAAGTCTAGAGAAAGGCAAATAATATCTTGATTTTCAAAAGAGATAGAAGAATTCTTAAGAAAATAATGTGCCATATGTGGTAATGTTTATGGCACATAACAGTACTATTTTTGGCTGAATTCAATGCATTAGTAACATACAGTTTGTAAACTCAAAAAGGAAAGTGCCAAGCATGAAGGGCCAGAATGTTTCAACAAGATCAAGTCAGGCTTGACTAGTGTCAAATTTGTTTTCACTAGGCATACTACATTAGCAGATTGAGGGAATGCTAAAAACACAATACATTTGGATTTCAGAAAGTATATTACAAAGTTTCTGTACTGTCTACTTCATAAGATTGTTATGAAAAGCAAAGTGAAAAAAATAACATATACTGAGGTGCCAGACTAATGTAATATAATGGTATTGACTTTTATCAGTGTATTCAAGGTACACACCATAAAATACTGGAGTGGGAAAGTCGGATAAGTTCCTAGAGGAATCTCACACTGGAAAAGAAAGAAAGAAAGCTGCATGGCACAACTTTAAGGTAAGGTCATCATTAAAGTATCCTAAGAAGAGGGAAGTGTTGATAATTACTGAGGGTCAATCTAGAACAGCAGCTATGAAAGGAGATGAAGACAGCCAAGGCCTGCCTAATGCAATCACCTGCCAGGCTCTTCTAACACACCTGTTTCAGCCTGCTGGGATTCTCCTTCCTTCCAGCTCTCAACTCATTCTAACTCAGCAGGTCTAGAGTGAGGCCTAGAACGTGAATTTTGACAAAACTCCTCAACCTCTTCTGATACAAATCTCCCCTTGGCTCCTCACCTCTATTGGTGTATGTCAATCTATACAGATATCTAAAAAAACCTTATGTATTGTTCCAATTCAGTTGTCCTTATTGTTTTCATCTGATAACTACTGATAAACACTTCCATTAAGAAATTCATCAGAGTGATGTCAGCAACATGGCAGTGTGAGCTCACCCGGGACTCTCTCCCGTCCAAATTACAACCAAAAAGAGCAACTACTTTCCAACCAAAAAAAAAAAATCCTAAGAACAGAAATCGTCAGAGACCCTAAGCAGCCAAATGATGGAGGGCGGAGAGGCTGCAGCTGCCCTTGGAGGAGCTGGAACAGGGTAAGAGAGAACTTCGTTCCCTCCCCTAGAGACTGGAATCGCTGCTGCGGGTGAGGAAGGGAACAGGGGAGGGGCTGCGCATCCGGGGATCGTCCAGAAGTCCCATCGCCCATGCAGTGGAAATCCTCTAACAGGGGAAAGCTTTCGCGTGTGGGGACCCCATTAAGCCAGGGCCGCAGGAAACCAGAGAGTGAGAGCTGATCCAAATCCAGGTCAGCACATGAGAGAAAGTGCCCCTCCTACCCAAACCCACGCTGTGTGCCACCATTGCAGCTGAAGGTAGAGGGCTCTGAATGTGTGGCTCTCGACCCCCATCTAGTGGTGACAGGTTGTAAGTGCAACAGAATAATAGCATCATGCACAAAAACCGCTCCTCTACCATCCAGCAATTTATAAATCTCCAGTCCACAAGGAAAACAATAAAAACACAGAAGTATATCCTGAGGACTTGGAAATAGGTAAACTAAGTGAAAATGAGTTCAAAATAGCTATCATCAAAATATTCAATGAGATAAAGGGAAATATGGAGAAACAAGTCAACAAGTTCTGGAGTTACTTCACAAAAGAGATTGAAACTATAAAAAAGAATAAATCAGAAATACTAGAGATGAAAAATACAATGGATCAGATGAAACAGAATACGGATTCCCTGAATGCCCATCTAGACACCATGGAGGAGCAAATTAGCATAATCGAGGATAGACAGGCTGAACAGCTCCAGACAGGGTAAGAAAGAGAACTAAGAATTTAAAAAACTGAAGAAAATCTCCAAGAAATAGCTGACTCAATGAGAAAATGCAACTTAAGAATAATCAGAATTCCTGAGGGCGTGGAAAGAGAAAATGGAACAGAAAGGGTGCTCAACAAAAGAATAGAAGAGAACTTCCCAAATCTACGGATTCAGAGAGAAATGTGTGTGGAGGAAGCTTTCAGATCTCCTAGATTTGTCAATGGAAAAAGACCTAGTGCAAGGCATATAGTAGTAAAAATGCCAAAAATGAATGACAAAAAAGAATACTCAGGGCAGCAAGGCAGAAGAAAATAAGCTACAAAGGAACCCATATCAGACTTTCAGCGGATTTCTCTACAGAAACCTTACAAGCTAGGAGAGATTGGAGTGACATATTCAAAACTTTAAAGGACAAAGATCTTCAGCCAAGAATATCCAGCAAAAATATCCTTCAGATATGAGGGAGAAATTAAATCTTTTCCAGACAAACAAAAGCTAACGGACTTCATAGCCACAAGACCTCCACTACAAGAAATCCTCAAGAAGGCTCTCATACCTGAAAAAAGAAAAAAAAGGAGAAAGGGGTCACAAAACAAAGAGTAGGGAGACAAATAGAATCAGAATAGGATAGCAAATATTCAACTATAGCATTAGGATAAAGGGAAGTAAATCACCAAAGCAAAGACAATCTTATCACTCTAACCATAAACTCACAACACAAGATGGAATAAGAGATGAAAATAATAACTTAGGAGGGGAGGAGGACAGGGACTGAAACAGTCTAGGTTAAGTAAGTAAGAGACCACCAGAAAATGGACTATGATATACACGAGATTCTGAATACAAACTTCAGGGTAGCCAATAAGCTAAAAAACAGAACAGAGACACAAAACATAAATAAGGAAAAATCTAAGAAACCCAGCATAAGAAATTGCAGAAGTCAATGGGTAGGCTAAAACACAGAGGACGAGAAACAAAGGTAACGCAGGAAAACTGGATAACGAATGACAGAATGACAGCATTAAGCCCTCATGCATCAATAATCACCCTCAATGTAAATGGATTGAACTCTCCAATAAGAAGACACACAGTGGCAAAATGGATTAAAGAACAGGATCCAACAATTTATGGCCTCCAGGAAACAAACCTCAGCTCCAAGGACAAACACAGGCTGAGGGTGAAGGGATGGAAGACAATACTCCAAGCTAACAGCAAACAAAAGAAAGCGGGTGTCACAATACTTATATCAGACAAAACAGACTTCAAGATAAGGCAGGTAAACAGAGACATAGAGGGCCAATATATAATGATCAAAGGGACACTTCATCAAGAAGAAATAATGCATATAAATATCTATGCACCCAACATGGGAGCACCAAAGTTCATAAAGCAAAAATTAACAAACCTAAAAGAAGATATCAAAAATAACACAATAATAGTAGGGGACCACAGAACCCCACCCACATCAATGGACAGATCATCCAGACAGAAAATCAACAGAGAAACAGTGGAGCTAAACGAAAAGCTAAAACAGTTGGACTTAATAGACATATATAGAACACTCCATCCAAAAACAGCAGAATACACGTTCTTCTCAAGCACGCATGGAACATTCTCAAGGATAGACCATATGTTGGGAAACAAGGCAAGCCTCTAAAAATTTAAAAAAATTGAAATAATAACAAGCATCTTCTCTGATCATAATGCTATAAAGCTAGAAATTAACTACAAGAAATAAGCTGAGAAAGGCACAAGGATGTGGAGACTAAACAATATGCTATTGAACAAGCAATGCATCATTGAAGAAATTAAAGAAGAAATAAAAAAATAACTGTAGACAAATGAAAATGATAATATGCCATACCAACTCACATAGGATACAGCAATAGCTGTATTAAGAGGAAAATTCATTGCAATACAGGCACATCTTAACACACAAGGAAAATCCCAAATAATCTTAAACTACACCTAACCGAATTAGAGAAAGAAGAACAAACAAAGCCAAAAGTCAGCAAAAGGAGAGAAATAAGAAAAATCAGAGCAGAAATAAATGCTATGGAAACAAAAAAGGCAGTAGAAAGGATCAATGAAACAAAGAGCTGGTTCTTTGAGAAGATAAATAAAATTGACAAACCCCTAGCCAGACTTACAAAGAAAAAATGAGAGAAAGCTCAAATAAACAAAATCAGAAATGAAACAGGAGAAATAACAACAGACTCCACAGAAATACAACGGATTATAAGAGAATACTACGAAAAACTATATGCCAGCAAAATGGATAACCTAGAGGAAATGGATAAATTCCTGGACTCCTACAATCTCCCAAAGCTTAGTCAAGAAGCAGCGGACAAGTTGAACAGACCAATCACAAGGAAAGAGATTGAAACAGGCATCAAAAGCATCCCAAAGAATAAAACCCCAGGACAAGATGGCTTTCCTGGGGAATTCTACCAAACTTTCAGAGAGGATTTAATACCTATCCTTTTCAAGCTATTCCAACAAATTAGGGAGGATGGAACACTTCCTAACATATTCTACAAGGCCAACATCACGCTGATACCAAAGCCTGACAAGGACAGCACGAAAAAGGAGAACTACAGGCCAATATCGCTGATGAACATAGATGCAAAAATTCTCAACAAAATTTTGGCAACCTGAATTCAGCAATTCATCAAAAGGATCATACATCATGATCAAGCAGGATTCATACCAGGGACACAGGGATGGTTCAACATCCACAAATCAATCAATGTGATACACCACATCAACAAACTGAGGAATAAAAACCACATGATCATCTCAATAGATGCAGAGAAAGCATTTGACAAGATCCAACAGCCATTTATGATAAAAACTCTGAACAAAATGGGGATAGAAGGGAACTACCTCAACATAATAAAGGCCATACATGACAAACCCACAGCCAACATCATACTCAAGGGGCAAAAACTGAGCGCCATCTCCCTGAAAACAGGAACAAGACAAGGATGCCCTCTATCACCACTCTTATTTAACATAGTACTGGAGGTCTTGGCCAGAGCAATTAGGCAAGAAAAAGGAATAAAAGGAATCCAAATAGGGAGGGAAGAAGTAAAACTCTCGCTGTTTGCAGACGACATGATCTTATATATAGAAAACCCCAAAAAATCCATTGGAAAACTTTTATAAGTAATCAACAACTACAGCAAAGTTGCAGGGTATAAAATCAATTTACATAAATCAGTAGCATTTCTATACTCTAATAATGAAAAAACAGGAAAAGAACTCAAGAACACAATACCATTCACAATTGCAACAAAAAGAATAAAATACCTCTGGGTGAATTTAACTAAGGAAGTGAAAGACTTATACAATGAAAATTACAAGGCTTTTCTGAAAGCAATGGATGACATAAAGAGATGGAAAGACATTCCATGTACATGGATCGGAAGAACAAACATAGTTAAAATGTCCATTCTAGCTAAAGCAATCTACAGATTCAATGCCATCCCAATCAGAATCCCAATGACATTCTTTACAGAAATTGAACAAAGAATCCTAAAATTCATACGGGGCAAGAAAAGACCCTGAATTGCTAAAGCAATCCTCAGAAAAAAGAACACAGCTGGAGGCATCACAATCCCTGACTTCAAAACATACTACAAAGCTACAGTAATCAAAACAGCATGGTACTGGTACAAAAACAGGTGCACAGATCAATGGAACAGAATTGAAAGCCCAGAAATAAAACCACACATCTATGGACAGCTAATCTTCGACAAAGGAGCTGAGGGCCTACAATGGAGAAAAGAAAGTCTTTTCAACAAATGGTGCTGAGAAAACTGGAGAGCCACATGTAAAAGAATGAAAATTGACCACTCTTTTTCACCATTCACCAAAATAAACTCAAAATGGATCAAAGACCTAAAGGTGAGACCTGAAACCATAAGGCTTCTAGAAGAAAATGCAGGCAGTATACTCTTTGACATCAGTATTAAAAGGATCTTTTTGAACACCACGTCTTCTCAGAAAAGGGAAATAATAGAAAGAATAAACAAATGGGACTTCATCAGACTAAAGAGCTTCTTCAAGGCAAAGGAAAACAGGATTGAAACGAAAAAACAACCCACTAACTGGGAAAAAATATTTGCAAGTCATATATCTGACAAAGGCTTAATATCCATAATATATAAAGAACTCACACAACTCAACAACAAAAAATCAAACAACCAGATCAAAAAATGGGCAGGAGACATGAACAGACATTTTTCTAAAGAAGATATATGTATGGCCAATAGGCACATGAAAAGATGTTCATCATCGTTGTGCATCAGGGAAATGCAAATGAAAACTACACCAAGATATCACCTTACACACATTAGAATGACAAAAATAACTAAAACAAATAGTAAAAAATGTTGGAGAGGTTGTGGAGAAAAAGGAACCCTCATACACTGCTGGTGGGACTACAAACTGGTGCAGCCATTATGGAAAACAGTATGGAGATTCCTCAAAAAATTAAAAATAGAACGACCATATGATCCAGCTATCCTACTACTGAGTATCTATCCAACGAGATTAAAGTCAACAATTCCAAAAGTCCCATGCACCCCAATCTTCATTGCAGCATTATTTACAACAGCCAAGACGTGGAAGCAACCTAAGTGCCCATCAACAGATGATTGGATAAAGAAGATGTGGTATATATACACAATGGAATACTACTCAGCTGTAAAAAAGAACAAAATCGTCCCATTTGCAACAACCTGGATGGACCTTGAGGGAATTATGTTAAGTGAAATAAGCCAGATAGAGAAGGACAATCTCTGTATGACTCCACTCATATGAGGAATTTAAACATGTGGGCAAAGAGAACAGATTAGTGGCTACCAGGGGAAAGGGAGGGTGGGGCGTGGGCACAAAGTGTGAAGGGGTGCACCTACAACACAACTGACAGACAATAATGTACAACAGAAATTTCACAAGATTGTAACCTATCATTAACTCAATTAAAAAAAGAAGACATTCATCATAAACATTTTCATTTTCCCTTATACTCCAAGCCTAATTTAGTGCATTAGACACTTGTTTACCTCAGTGATATTTGGGTAGCAACTCGCAGTAATCTTGGCTGACTTGCTAAGTCATTTTCTCGTCCACTTAGTGCATCCACTAAGAAAATGCGCCGAGTCAGAAGCCACTTACTAGCACTATCATCTTTTATCATAAAAAGAAAAAAAAAGGGGGACATTAAAAAAATACCTTCAAATTGTTCAAGATGGCTCTCAAGGAGAAGTTCACTGAACAAATTTAAAACAGAAAATTAGTACATTTTGTTTTGTTTTGTTGTTGCAAAAATAGCTAGTGCTGTAAGAAATTCCTGGTAACAGCCTTCCTCACTTCACTTGAATGTCTTCTGATTTGATTTTGCATCAATTTGAAGGATTTTCCCTGCAAATTACCTGAATAAACAGGATTTTATAATATGGGAAACAACAAAAGAAACTAATTTGTCCAAAAAGCAGTTGGAGTACACGTTGAAGAAGCCTCAGTTTACAGTTCTACTAATTTTTATCAGGATATATTTCTAGCCATAATATAATTTCTTAACAAAAAGTCTGATATATTGAGTAAAAATATCTAAATATATCAGCAATCTTACTGTTTTACTCTTTGGCATGCTATATAAAACCACATAAGAGAGAATCCATGACATTCCTTATATCTATGGTTTACTAAATTATCATGTTGGTTGGCTTATTTATTGGTTTTAGCTCATAGAAAGAGTGGTATGTATGGATATCTTACCTTGGTTCACAAATATTTTATTGTGTTGAAGATTTAAGTTTAACACAGGCACAGCCCAAATATATTGGTGTTGATTTTCATTAGTATATTCAAGGTACACATCATAAAACACAGGAGTTGGAAAGTCAGCTAAGATCTTAGAGAGAGGAATCTCACACTGAAAAATAAAATTAAAAATAAAAGCATCCCAATTGAAAATTAGAAAGTATATTTATTTATTTATCCTCAAAAGAGTGTTTTATTAATTTTGTAAAATAAAGTATCTTTAAACTATCTTATTTATATGCATATCCCATGTGCCTTCCAAAACATGAATACTATAAATATGATTATCTTACAAGGGTCAAAAAACTAACAATAAAGAATTGCCTGGTTCTCCTCCTACAATCCAGCTGCAGAAGGTATGCCTTCATTCTCACAGTAAGTATACAGCAGCGAAAGGTTTAAAAACTCCTGTCATATGGATTAGGTCCTAATTCTTTCTCCTGATGTACAATGCTAACTATAATTTGGCTCTCCTTAATAGAGCCAGGCTTATCTCCCACTGCTCCCTACCAGTCTATGGTCCATTCATACTAATCTACTTGTAGTCCCTAAATATGCTACACCATTCTATGTCTGACATTGCAAATGTTGTTTCTGCCTGACAGTCCCTTCCCCACTGTGTTCTCCTGACAAACTCATATTCATTCTACAAGCCCAAGTATCACTCACTCTGTGAAGCCTTTCTATACTTCCCCAGGAACTGCCGATGTCTCCTCCTTTGTATAATACCTTGTACATAGCTATTGAACAACACATCACATTCTTTGCAATTCTTTATCTATATAGCTATTTTTCCTATAAGGCTGTGAAGTACTTGAGAGGCAGCCAGGTTCAATGAAAAACCATGTTTTTTTAAGCCTAAAAGAATACTGGCTCCACAATTTACTTGATGCAAGACCTTGAGTAAATGACCTAATCTCGCGGAGCACCATTTCCACATTTGTGAAGCACAGATATGTACCTCACATAGTTATTTCATGGATCAGATGAGATGATAAAATGCTGAGCACACAAGAGCAGGCACTTAACAAGTGCTGATTCTCCTAGCCCAAGGTGGACACATAGCAACATTTCTTTTTTAATAATATATAAGTCATTTCTGATAATAAAAGTAAATTCATGTTCATGACAGAAAATTTGGAAAATATGAAAAAGAAAAAAAGTTACCTGTAACTCCACCATCCAGAGATAACTACTGCTACAAATGTTTATTTTCTTCTAATCTGTTTTCCTTCTTGGTGTTTTTCATTATGGTTTTAACAAAACTGGAATTACGGTTTTGTTCTATGGTATATGTATATGCATTTTATCAAGAAGTACTTTTGTAGACTAGAGAGTATCTTTCACAAGTTTAATGGCTCATAATATTCCTTTGTACCATACTGTAATTTCAAAATGGGTTACCAAAGGAAGAAACCTCAGGGAGGGAAGCAGAGAGGAAAGTATAAAGAGAGAAAAGGAAGCATTTTTATTTGTTACTGAGGGGTAGAGGGAGGAGAGAGCAATAACATTTCATTAGTCACTAAAAATAAACTAATATTTTTACTTTATTCCAAAATGCTCAGAAGTAGGCATTATTTTTAAGATCTATATGCCAGAACCAAACAAACAAGTGATTATCAAAATCTATCATTATCTGATGTTTAAGACTTTATAGATGACAAGGTACTCTCTTCATGCTGATTAAATTAAGGTTTTTCTATACCCAGACAATAAAAAAATATATCAAGTGAAATTATTCATTACTATAAAAAGATTTCCAATTTCAAAAATTCAAAGGTTATTCCAATTATTGCTAATATGAAAAATGAAGCTAAAATACAAAATGTCTAAAATAGTTCAAACTTACATTTTGTTGATAGGTTGTTCCAAAAGAATAAGCAGCATTTAGTCTTGTCTCTGTGTCTGGACAAAGCTACAGCAAAACAATACGACTGATAAATATCTTTCACAAATGTTTTCTTTGCTTATAGTCAAGGGTTCTCAAGCCCCAACATGGACATATACTTTATACAATATTTAATGTATTAAGGGTATGAAAAGTCAAGGGAGCATCTTTGTTATAAAGTCATAACTTACCTTTGGAAAAATTCCTATCTAAAGCACAGGAAAAAATCAACTGTAGCATGCAAACAATTCAAGCAATAATCTAGTCTTTGACTCAATCAAAAATAAGGCACATTAGTAATTCTTTAGCTAGAATCATGCTCACCTGTAAAATACCTCCTTCTAAAGTTTGCCACTTGAGAAAATTTCCTCTTACATCATAGGAAGCAGCAACAAACTTCAGTTTTGTATTCTGATTAAGGAAAAACAAGAATAAAATAATGTCACATACTCTGAAAGTAATATAACAAAGAAATTTTCATTGTTGAGTGATCCTTTCTTTTTCCAGAGACCAAATGTTAAAATCAACTGTCATTACTTTGAAGCAAAATTAATCTAAGCATCTGTATGACTAAACACACCAAAAACAAATGAACTGGGATTTTTGCACAAAAATTATTTCAGAATTAAGAGGCAGAGCTAGAGACAGATAACCTCCTTTCAAATCTGTTAAATGTGTGTGTGTGGAGGGGGTGAGTAAGGGAGGGAATAATCTATTCTTTCATTCTAGAAGGTTAAAAAGTTGGAGGTGAGAATTTGGACCTGTGAAGTGCTGGGGAAATGGCACACAGTCCCAGTCAATCTTTGGAAGCCCTTCTTAAAAATGCAGAGATACAGAAGGACAGAGATTATTTTGCATTTAGTGATGAAAACTACCCTTCCCAACCCCACAAGTACTACTTGCTGCCATAACCACATGATCCAGAGGTATCCATATACTCAAGTAAGACAGTCAAACTATATTGTTTAGTTCCTATAAGAAGCTGATATTTGGATTTACTCTAGTCATTAAATTTTTAAAAACAACCTAAAGAAGTAAGAATTATGACCAGTAACATTCTTATTACCATTTAAAATTGTAAATCAAAACGTAGTTATCCTTTAATAGTATAGTGACTTGTACCTGGTTTTGATCTTTAAAACTGAAATTTGTAGGAAGAGGTGTAGTACTGAGTACTTGAGGTGCTAATCCTAGCTGGTCTCCATAGAACAGCCATGGAAGATTCTGTCTCCTATAAACAATTACAATTGTTTTTATAATGGGGAATATTTCTTAGTATATATTTGTGAAAGTAACTGCACTGAATTTGGTCAAAATGACATTTTAGCAATCACAATATCCTTACCAAAATGAGACAGAATGAACAGTACGCAGTCCAGCAGTGTTTTCAAAGATAAACTGAAACAGTCGGCATGCATCAAAAGTGGCAGAGTCATAAGAATTCATGTTCATCACACACATATTTCCAAGAGCTTGGCAAGATGTTAGATTGGCATACAACTACAAGAGAACAATGGCAAAGAAACGTAACATGGCCCTTAATACCCTAAGCAAAAGTTGATATAGAAATTATGATTGGTTTTAATTTTATCTATTCTACAAATTGTTTTTGGGGGGTATTCTTTTACTTTTTAATACCTTTCCTCTAATTTAAGTAGAAAAGATCTTTCCATATGGCAGATGAATAATGTATACATTTTAATTATAAATTTTAGGTGAAAAAATAAAGACAAGCAATTGAACGAAGAACTAACTAAAACTTACAGCATGACATTTAAAAAAACTATAAAGTAGAATAATTATATTTGAGAGAATAATAATTTGCTTTTCTCCCCAAATACCCCCAGTACATAGTTGTGTATTTTTTTTTCAGTTGTAGGTCCTTCTAGTTGTGGCACATGGGACGCCACCTCAACGTGACCTGACGAGTGGGGCCATGTCCGTGGCCAGGATCTGAACCAGCAAAACCCTGGGCCGTGGGAAGCGGAGCGCGAGAACTTAACCACTTGGCCATGGGGCCGGCCCTGAGAGAATAATAATTTGTTTCTATATTAGAATTTACGCATATAATCTAATCCACTTTAAGTAATTTGTTTTATGAACAATAAAATAAGATCATTTGTTGAGTTTGCCCCTCAAAGTTTTTCTCAGTTTTCGCTATTACAAAAAGGCAACTCCATTTTTACAGTTATTCAAGACAAAAACATTTCAACAAGCTTCTTTCTCTCCCTTCCCATTTCCAACTTATCAGTAAATTCTGTTGGTTCAATCTTCAAAGTGTATCCAGAAGCTAAACACTTCTCTCATTTCCAAGGAGCCGTCCTTGTCCACGGGTCCACTCTCTCTCACTGGATTACTCTAACACTTTCCTAACAGGTCTCCCTGCATCCGTCCTTGCCCCAACAAAATCCATTCTTGCTAGCGTGATTCTTTCAAAACCTGAAGTTCAATCATGCCTTACTTTGCATAAAAATCCTTCTATCTCCCCTACAGTAAACTCCAGGTCCTCGCCACAGCCACTCTCTTCATCCCTGAACTCATCTCTCCACTTTCCCTTCTCATCTGCTCCAGCCACTCCAGCCCCCTTCCTGTTTCTTAAGCACAAACACACCAGAGAACTCCTGCTCTGGCACCTCTGCACTGGCTGTGGTCTCTGCCTAGAACGCTCTTCCCCTAGACAGTTACATGACTCACTTTTTTTTTGCAGGTCTTTGCTCAAAAATCACCCTCTCAGAGATGTCTGTCCTGACTGCCCTATATAAAATACCACCCCCTTTCCACTCTCTACGCCTTTTACCCTAATTTATTTGTCTTCATAGCACTTAGCACCACCTGACATTTACTTGGAATATAATTCCACAAGGGATTTTTTTCTGTCTTTTCCTGAAATACATAAACTGATTTGAGAATGGGGCCTGGAACACAGTAGGTCATCAATAAACATTTACTAAATAACAGCATGAATCAGTTTCCCCCAACACTCAATTCCAGCTGAATAAGCTTGGACACATTTCTTTCTTTTCAAAGATTGGCACCTGACCTAACAACTGTTGCCAATCTTCTTTTCTCTTTAAATTTTTTTCTTCTTCTCCCCAAAGCCCCCCAGTACATAATTTTATATTCTAGTTGTGAGTGCCTCTGGTTGTGCTACGTGGGACGCCGCCTCAGCATGGCCCGAGGAGCGGTGCCATGTCCGCGCCCAGGATCCAAACCAGTGAAACCCCAGGCCGCCAAAGCGGAGCATGCGAACTTAACCACTTGGCCACGTGGCTGGCCCCGTGGACATTTAATTTGTGTATAATAAAACGTGAAATGAATAACATTTTCTTTATGTATTCTCTTTCCGTCCACTAGCAAGGGTTTATTCTTCTTATAGAGGATGACCAAAAAGATATATCTACTTAGAAAACTTTTACCTGGGGAAAAAATGGCACCACAATTCTTCAGAATGAAATAAAATTATTTCCTAAAAATTCAAACTTACCCAACAAGCAGCTGCTGATGATTGCAAATACTTTGCAAACCATTCTGAAGTGAAAGACGCGCCCTGTAAACAAAAAGACGAATTTTAGTTTTAAGTCCAAACAAAAATTCCTTAACCCTAGACTGTTAGGAAGACATTAATATGCATATTGTTGAATAGGAAATAACTATTATTACTATCTCAATTTATCAGAAAAATAGACTCTAATGAGAATATAAGAATTCTAAACAATGTCAGTTATTAGAAATATGACTGCATTACAAAATCACATTACTTAGACAAAAGATATAAGGAAACAAAGTATGTCTATAATCCAAAAAAAACCATTATTCCCATTTCACTAATACAAAAAGCAAAAATCAAAGTGGCAAAAAAATAAAAGAAAAACTAGATCCTGACAGTATTGAACGGTTAACATTTGTTGATTTAGGATTATTATATTGTATTAAATTGGCAAGTAATTAAAAAGAAATATTTGTGAATGATTTCTAAGCAGGAGATTGGTGATATACAGTCACCCCTCCACATCTGTGCACTCCATGTCCACTGATGTGGAACCACAGATACAGAGGCCCAACTAAGGGACTTGAGCATCCTCGGATTTTGGCATCCTGGAACTAATCACCCGCGGATACTGAGGGACAACTGGACAGAGTAACTAACGTTAAAATCTCCTAAGTGGTGATTCTCAAACAATGATGAGCATCAGAAAGAAACACCTGTGGAATTTCCTAAAAACAGAAAATGGCTAGCTTCATCCAAAGCAAATGAATTAGAATCTCCAGGATGAGACCAAGCTCATGCACCGCTCTGAAAGCCGCAGATATAAGCCTCGGGCTAAGGAACCACTGTTTTAAAGCTTACCTGCACATCTTACTAAAAAATGAGGCATTGAGAAGCACCATCCAGAGTAAATTCTCTTCAATAAGTAAAAATTCTCATTTTGTAAGAGAAAAATATATGCATAGAAGGTTGAACAACATACCAAAAAACTAGTAAAAAGGGAAAGCAATAGCAACTGTGCTGGAAAATGCATATAAAACAAAGCCACAAACCATGCCAGTGATAGTATTAAAGATGCATGATCCTTTATAAAACACTACCTACATACCTTAAACCAGGAATTTAGGAAGACTTAGGAAATTTGTCTTAAGGCAATAATCTCACCAAAAGGAAAAGCATGTCTATGTTCATAAAATGTTTGATAGCAACATCTTTAATAGCAAAAAAACTAAATATTCAATGGATGTACAATTACATAAATTTCAATGCATAAACTAGAGTATTATGTGACTGTTTAAAATTATAATTATATTGGTTGAGCCTGGAACAAGGTATAGAGAAACCAAGGTAGTGCCTAAAAACTGATGGAGACGTGTCAAAATAACAGGAGCTATTTCAAAGGGAAATCCAAATTTGGGACAATTTGAGCTTTGAAAAGAAGAATAACAGTAACAGATTATAATACACTGAATAAACAAAGACTCCATGAGTTTGAAGTAAAAAAAAAGCACAGGGAGAGAAGAAATTTTCTATAAAGGAAATCTTTATAGAAGATTGCTAACTAATAAATATAAAGAGAATAATAGAATTGTGAAAACATTTTGAAATAACCAATTTAACAACTGATTTAGGCAAGAGTCATCAATGGCTGCTAAAATGGATATTTACATACTGTCAAAGCAAAATTTCAGATTAATGTATTAATCACAGTACCTTCACAACGGAGAGAAGTGGCAGACAACACTGTGACCAATCAAATTTAGCATCACCAATACTTTGACAGCCTGACATTATGGGTTCCTTATTATGATGCAATGGGCTGTACAGAACACCTATATTTTTGCAAACAAATGTTCCACTGATGATGTTCTCATCATGAGAAAACAATGAGAAAGATCCAGATTGTGGGACACTCTACAAGAAAACTGGCCTTTACTTTGCAAGAGTCAATGCCATAAAACAAAGAAAGCAAAAACAAAAAAAACACAAAAGCAAAATAGAGCAAGTATCTCTGTTCTAAATCAAAGGAGACAAAAACCGCTAATTGTAATGTGTTATCTTTGACTGGATTCTGGAAACCACCTCCCTCCCAAAAAACTGGAGGGGAATAAAGGATATTATTGAACAAGTGGAGAAATTTGGATATGAACAGTGTATCAGGTAATTCTATTACATTAATTTTACATTTCTTAGATGTGATGCCAGGAAAATGCCCTTGTTCTTAGGAGCTATATAATAAAGTATTTACGAGTAAAACGTCCTATGTCGATGATTTGTTTTCAAGTGGCTCAGAAAAAAATATGTGCATGTGTATGCACGCATTTACACACACAGAGAAAGATAGAGCAAATGCGGCAAAATTAATAGTTGGCTAACCCAGGTAAAAGATATATGCACAGTGACTGTCTTATTTTTTCCAACTTTTCTGCAATTCTGAAATTTTCCAAAATAAAGCTTGGAAAAAACAAAAACCAAAGATGTGAGCTCTTTGGAGAAAGGGAATGGGAAGCCATTGACTCATATATATGGATATTCTTTACTGATTGGCAGCTATATTCCTGGAAAAGGACTGGATGCCTCTCTTGTAAAATTATACAAAAATAATTACATTCCAATTCTGTATTACTCAAGAAAACATTTGATCTGTAATGTTCTACATACACTTTCCAATCAGGAAGAGTGTATGCTATTAAGTCAATACAAGTATTTTAGTCTAGCTGGCAATTACATTCTCAACATAAACTAATAAAGATGCGTTCTGGTTTATCAATCAGTCTAATCTCTTGTGAATCTAATTACTTTGAATTGGTCCCTTAAAACCTGAATGACCTGCAAATGCACTGATAAAACTGAGTTCTTACACCTGTCTTGCTGAGGACAGGGCCAAGACAGTTATACCATCTTAGCTACATTTTGTTGACGCGTTTCACTCACTGGCTACACAAAACCAGTCTGAATAAACACCAGTTATAGAATGCCTTAAAGTCATGGACTTCAAATTTGTCCTTAGGAAAGCATCAGTGTTTAAGACCGGCATGTTTAAATGAAATACATTAGCTGAATCAGATAAACTTTAAGACTGGAACAGCCTTTCCCTGCCCACCTGCACTTCCCAGCAGAGAGGCCTACATCTGATCTACTACATAGTGGTGTGGGAGGGAGTATGTGGAGGTGGTGTGGAAGAGAGCTGTGTTACATTAAGCAAATGAGTAAATTCAGGATGAGACCCAGATTTCTCACTACTGAAGAAAGTACTGTCAAGTCTCACTACTTTCAAAATGAAAGGCTAAAAAGAACTCTGCAGTATTGCTTTGAAATTGAAAGTATCAGTATGAACTCATTTATTTTAATATATATATACAAGATAAATACAGAAACAGTACAGATATGTGTATGTATTTTCTAGTTATGTCTGCTAAGAGGGCATAGTAACCATGGTAATCTTGGTTTCTAAATATTATCATTAAGAACTTCTTAGAGAAGTGGCTGATTCCAGGGCTGAGGCAGGAAAAGCACAAGATGAGCCTGGAAATCTTGTTGTGTCAGAAGGTAAGGAAATGTTCAAATGATGATGAGAACACATGAATAAGACATAGGCGCCAACTTCAAGGGGCTTTTACAGGCCAAATCTAGGACAATTTGAGCATCAAAACAAATAATACATGTATTGGATTAAATATTGAATAGGAACCAATTGAATAGAATAGGAACCCACAAATCTATACTGTCATTAATAAACAAATAAATATAAAAATGAGAAGTAGGGAAAATTCTTCCTTATGTAGAATGTTAATAAATGTGGGAGGAAAGATAGAAACATCTGGCAACCATCATAGTAGCAGCTGATAAAGCCCAGCATTATCAGGGGAGACTAAAGCTACTATGTCAAGGTTTAGTGAAGAGGAGGAAGCCTAATCTTGGAAATTCTCTTCAAAAATACTATTCAATTACAAAGGGAAAATGGTAACTTTATAGCAGACATGGGACTTTCTGGCAAGTGATCAAGGAATTTTTGCTTGGTTTATCAAGATCCTAGATTTCACTCTCATCACGGCTATCCTCACAGCTCTCCTAATCACTCTCAATTATTCAAAGATGATTTTAGCAACTAGATCTGAGCCTATTCACCCCAAGCTCTGCTGGCATCGCTGGCATATTGGATATCTTCAATGCTCATTAACTAACTCCTAGGTAGTCAGCTAACTCCTATTCTCTCGGATTTGTGACCTCTTCAGTTCCAATTCATCCACTTACTTCCCATTTTACATCTGTTGCAAAAACTGTAAATCTATGCCACCACACTCTCATCCATAAAATAAAGAACCTGCCAGATATGAATAATCTTCATTTCTCCCATGACAACCACGTACAGGCACTTTGAGGTAGGTATTATGATTATACCCAATTTACAGACAATAAAACTGAGGTTTAGAAATGTTAAGTCCAAAGATACAAAACTAATGACTGATAAATCCAGGATTCAAATCTAGAGTCTCTGGTGCTCTGAACTCTATTATACTGCATTCTTTATAGGATCTACAAAGGAATTTTGCAGCTTAAACATTCCGAGATTCACTGAAAAAGGAATGAGCTAATGTAGAGAAGAGAGTAACTGTTATAAATTACTGATAATTATAATGCTGAGTTATTAGTGTAAGGTTTCTTAGACTGATGATTTGTTTTAAAGTGACTTACACATAAACAGTTCTCATTTTAGTCCCAAATTAATTACCAAAGGAAGAAATGCAGAAAGATCCTTAACAAGTGGAAAAAAAAATTCCAAGATACTCACAAGCTCTCCATAACGTGCAGTTGAAATCATATGTGGAGGAAAATTCCCTGTACTGCTGAAACATAATCCCCCTGTCTTCATAAATAAATAAGAAAAAAAAATCCTAGTTTATGGAAAGGTATAAGCAATTTAATTTTAAAATATACTTTATCAGTTTGATTAGCCTTACTAAAATGTTAGGTTCTGAACATGCACAGGATCTGCTGGTATTGATGAACGTTGGTTCACATCGAACACACCTGTTAATATAGCAAAAATAATTTTTAAAACATTAATGAATTACACTAAACCTAGTTTAATCGAGAACTTGTCTTCATAAATGCTGGATTAGTATACATTAATTCAGCTAAGCAATTACTTGTAATAAAGTAAACAAATTAAAAATATTAACACCAATTTGAATAGTTCTATACCACTCTTTGGATTACAAGGCAATTTAAAAATAATGAAATTAACCAACAATAGGAGAGTATTCTTTCAAAACCACTTGGAATGTATAAAATAAATAATACTGAATAGCAAAGATGGTTAAGTCACTCAATTGACAAAAGAGCCCAACAAACTCATATAAGTGAAACCAATCCATTTTTATAAGTAGTTTTATCAAATATACTCTCCTTATTTTATCTGCTACAAAGAAAAAAAGTAATATAAGCTAAAAAGATATGTTTATCTATGCCCTCATCAAATCTACAACCAATACTCTTTAAAGTCTATTCATCATCTTTATTTTATGAAAATACATTTTTCATTAATGAACGATATAATAAGAAGGAGGGCACTGGCCTACTGGGGACACTGATGGGTTTATATGAATATTCATTACTTGCAAGATGGGGCAGGTAGGAGGAGGGTCTGGAGCATGGCACAGAACTCAAACTGGGTTTGGGTGGTAGTGAAGGGGAAGACTTAGGGATCAACCCGGCAATCAGTATTTGGATGCTACAAGCCAGGTCAGCCTAAAAGAAAAGAAGATCCAACACTAAGTATCCCCAGAAGAAACTACTCAAGTATTTTCTATCTTAAACTTTGTAATCAAAGAGAAAACTGTGCTTAGAGGGAAGTCATCAGGTAGGCCTCTAAAAAAAGTGAATAAGTTGAAATAGGGATAATGTGTTTGAGTTAGAGAGAGGGAAGGGTGTATGTGTGTGATGTGCATATACACATGCATAAAAGAGCAACAGGAAGTGATAGAAAATAGGGCTATAATCAGGGTACCTGGGTTATTATAATTACTACTATATTTATTAATATGCTTTTTTATATAACATGATAATATATAGAGCACAGTACCTGGCACATAGTAAGTATGCTGCAAACAGAAGTTACTGTTATATACTATATATCACATTATAGATGATGTACAAATTATATAATAAATAAAAATAGCTACAGTAGCCCCCTCTTATCCATGAGGGATACATTCTAAGACCCCTGGTGGATGCCTGAAACCGTAGATAGTACTGAACACTATACAGTCAAGGGCCACATGATGACATTTCAGCCAATGACAGACTGCATATATGACAGTGATTCCGTAAGATTAGTGCCATATAGCCTAGGTGTGTAGCAGGCTATACCATCTAGGTTTGTGTAAGTACTCTCTGTGATGTTTGTACAATCATGAAATCACCTAACGATGCGTTACTCAGAATGTATCCCCGTCATTTAAGAGATGCATGACTGTATATACATGCTTTTTCCTATACATACATACCTATGATAAAGTTTAATTTATAAATTAGGCATAGTAAGAGATTAACAACAATAACTAATAATAAAATAGAACAATTATAACAATATACTGTAATACAAGTTACCATAGATCTTAGCAACCTCAGCATACAACTTTTTCTTTCTTAAGTCAAGAACTTTCACCTTTTCTCTTAAAGGAAGCACTTTACGACTTGTTGTTGGCATATCTGAATTGCCAGCACCACTACTCTCGTACCTTGGGGCTATTATCAAGTATAATAAGGGTTACTTGAACACAAGCACTGCGATGACAAGACAGTAGATCTGATAACCGAGATGGATACTAAGTGACTAATGGATAGGCAGTACACATAGTGTGGATACACTGGACAAAGGAATGATTCACGTCCTGAGCAGAACAAAACAGAAAGGCACGAGATTTCACTACTCAGAACTGTGTGCAATTTAAAACTTTTGAATTGTTTATTTCTCGAATTTTCCATTTAATATTTTCAGATCACAGGTGACTGAGGATAACTGAAACAAGGAAAGTGAAACTGCGGATAAGGGGGAACTACTGTACCTTTTGCTGAGCACTTACTCTGTAGTGCTATACTAAGAACTGTACATATTTATTTCTGAGCTGTCATAACAGCCATAAAATGGGTGATCTATCCCCACTCCAAAGACAAGGAGACTGACTTAGTGAGCTATCTAAGGTCAAACAATAAGAGACTGAGTCAAGATTTGAACCCTATTCTGTCTCATTCTCTGGGCCTCAGCTTCTTTATCTGCTAATGCTACTTCTATCCTTCCTTGGGTTTTTGTGAGGAGCAAGTGATATGATGGGAAAGTACTTTACAAAGGTACAGATCCCACATAAATATAAGATGATATTAAAAAGGTTAGCACCCAGCACACTGCTTACCTGTCTCCTAAAGCATTTGCTACTGTAAAAGAGTTTTCATTTTCATCACAGAGTTTACAAGTTGCTTGAGACAACAATGTTCCGTTAACATCTCTTTCCACTAAACAATTAGAAACAAAATTAAGATGCAACTCACAGTCAACATATAAGCTCCTATATACTTAGTAAAATCCATTTGTAATTATTATTCTAATAATTCTCAAAACACCTTATTTGCGTAAAAGGCATGTCAAGCACTTCCATAATAAAATATAGAAAAGTGAAGACTTCCCCATTCCCACATAAAAAAACTGAGACTAATTTTCCAAATCATTAATAATAAACTAATATTTTTTCCTTAAAAGTTTTCTTACCTCTCACCTGTACATTCCTGTTATACTAGGTATGGGGAAACAAGTATTTTCTTAGACTGCTGATATGTTTCTGCAACTTAGAGGACTTTTGGCAGTATCTATTAAAACTTTAAATTCACATACCATACAACACTACAATTTCATTTTTAGATACCTACCCTACAGAAACACTTGCACATGTGTATGAGGATATTCATCAAAGCATTATTTGTTAGAAAACAACCTAAATATTTAAAACAACGAAATGGTGCTATATCCATACTATGAAACTATAGAATGGATTAAAAAGAAGGAGGTAGATCTAACAGGTCATATTAAGTGAAAAAAGTATGCTATAGAACAATATTTTTGGTGTGAAACATTCATAAAAATACCACTTACATTTCCTGTGACCATAATGTCTATCTGTACATTAAAAACAGGAAAAGAAAAAGATTCTAGGAGGACACACTCTCACACACACCCCCACACCCCCAAATAGTAACAATCACTTTGGGGCTGAGGGAATAATAGAGAATCTGCATTGGGGAAAATGGTCAAAGATCATTAGTCCCAATCATGTTATCCATAATGTTTTAAGTTTTTGCAAGGTAGTAAAAATAATTTTAACAAAAGGTGAACAACTTGTTCCTTGTGCAGTCATTCTGTTTCAGGGGATGCCATTTACTGAAACGGAGTTTAGTTTACTGACTATTTACTCAGGCCCCACTACTTAGTCTCTCTCTTCTTTTCTTCTCATGCTCCACATTAAAAAAATGATTAAAATTAAAAAATAAATCTGCAAATCCTGACAGCTGTCTCTTCCAAATATATCCAGAATATATATTATCTCTACCTCCACAACTACTCCCTGGGCACAGTGGCACCATCTAGCATCTGAACTTTCACAACAACTTCCTAACTGGAGCCCTGGTTCTACTCTCCAGGCAGTAGCTAGAGTGAGCCTTTTAAAAACTAAATGTGATCATTTCACTCCTAGGAAAATCTTACGGTGGTCTTTCCTCTTCACACAGGGTAATTTCCAAGGTCACCATCATAGCCTTTTAAAAGGCCTTACATGATTTGCATACCATCACTCCCAACTTTTCAGACCCACTTGCTTCTGCTTTCCTCCTCTTTTGCTTCAGCCACATTAGTGTACTTGCTGATCTTTGAACATGCCAAACACGCCCCCCATCTTAGGACCTTTGCACTTGCTATTCCTTCTGTTAGAATGAGTTCCCCAGGCATCTACATGGCTCTGTCCCTCACTTCCTTCAAGTCCTTGCTCAGATGTCACCTTTCCAGAGAGGCATTCCATGATCATCTATGTAAAATAACACCCTGCTCTCCCCCTTTCCCTGCCTTATTTGTCTTCACAGCACTTACTATCACCTGCTAAGTACTCAGCCACTTGTTTACTGTTTTCCTCTTGCCACAAGAATTTTTTTTTTGCCACAAGAACGTAAGTTTGATTCATTGCTGTATCCCAACATCTAGCACGTGGTGCTCAAACTTTTTTTTAGTTAGAATGGTTTAAAATTGGGAGGTTTCATATAAAAGTTTATATTTCTGGCATTTCTTAAAAAATAGAAAAATCTAGCTTCATGGGACCCATGTTCTTACATGACAACAACATACTGGAGTTGAACTGGGGCTAGCTATTGCCCTTTAGCTTAACTGTCTTTCTGCTAAATAAAGTTTTAAAAATTTATTTTAAAATTTAATTTTTATCAACAAATATTTATGAATAAATGAATAAATATGACGACACTTCTATAAATATTTTCAAGGATAAGACATATAAATGCATACAGCATTCCTGGAAGAATATAAAAGAAACAACAGTGGTTACATTTGAGGACTGGGAATGGGAGTGGGGGTAAGAGGGAAAAGGACCTTTGGTTTTTATTTTGTATTTTTCTATACTATTTAAATTTCTAACCACATGCACATATTACTTTAATTTTAAAAAGTAAAATTTTGAAGTTGAAAAATGCAGATACATGTATTTTTAAGCAGTAGGTCTCTATGTGCTCTTTTGGAACTATCTCCAAAATAAACTGCATATAAACACTCCAAAATATTTTCATTTATACAAAAAAAACTTTGCAAGCAAAGAGAAGTAACAATTACCTTAGGGTAACTTCTGGAAAATGAAATAGGTGGGGAGTGCAGACTTTCACTTCTCATTTTATAGCCTCAAGAATTATTTGATATTTTTAATGATGTGTACTTACTGTGTTAATAATTTTTCAATAATTATTTACCTGATAAGGGCAATTCTCTTCTTCTACTAGAAATGGGATGAGTTGAGAGAAGCTGTGCAAGAAGTGAAATGTACCCTCTTTCTGTTCACTCTTCCACTCCTTCCCAACCCCTCTTACAAACCCATGAAGAAATTAACAGCACAAGTTCAAGGCAGCTCTAAGGAGCTCACACCACGGAGAATTTTAAGTACGTAAAAGTAGCCTCCAAAATAGTGAAATACTGTTTGCACAGCTGATTGAACCTTAAGGGGTCCTGGGGTCAGAGCCACTGTTTAGACCCCCTGGAATCCAGCCTTTATTCTCAACAATTCACTAAAACTGCAACTTTAACACCAGTAATTTCTGACTGTCAAAAGTCATCTCAGTAACTCAGTCCACACTGACTTCTCCACAGCATTGAATCTATGGACCATCATTGCCTTCACTCCCACTTAGAAATTCTGGAGATATTTGTGACTTTTCCCTTTTCCTCATCCCCATATTCCATCACTCATCTAGGTCTATTATCACCCTTTTAATGTTTCTAGCATCTACTCCTTTGTGTATAATTTGTCTCAACTCTGGTTCAGGTCTTTATATCCTCATGTCTACAGAACAGCAACAGTCTCTTCAGTTCTCCCTACTTCCAGTCTTCCATTTCTTAAACGTAAACGTCATGAGGGCAGGGACTTTATTCCTGCTTACTAAATTCCGTTAACTGCGTTATCCCTTGTGCCCCTGGACAATGCCTAGCACATAGCAGGCACTCAATAAACATTTGTTGAATGAACAAATACAACAGATGGCTGCCAGATTAATCACTCTCCTGTTCAAAACTTTCAGTGAAACACCTATGCCTACAGAACATCCTACCATTCAAAGCCTTCCACAGTCTGGACCAATGCTCCTGGCAAAACGTTATTCTCATAGTCCCTACACTTTCCATCTGGATGCTTACATTTGTAATAATACCCTTACTCACACTGTTCCTTCTGCCTGGAATGTTCTCCTCTCTTTTGCTACCTTTAGAAACTCTATTAATCCTTCAAGGTTCAGCTATTATACTGCCTTTTCCTGCAACCTTCTCAAACAACCCTGGTTGAAGTGAGTTCGTCCTTATACAGCATTTATTGTCTATAGTGCACATTTGATGATTTAATATATGTGCCCCTTGTGAAAATCTTTTATTGCTATCTTGCTCTGCAAACTACTTTTCCATATGCATGTCCTGCCTTCTAACTAAATAAATTGATGGCAAGGATTTTTATTTCTTTAAAAAAATTAATTTTTGAAAAGGTAATGCATAAATAAAGTTTAAAAATAAAAGGCACAGAAGAATTTAAAGTGAAAATTAAGTCTCTTCCCAACCCCTTTCTCCCAGACACCCAGTTTTCCATTGGAGGCAACTATTGGAGGCAATAGTTACCAGTTTCTTGTGAATTCTTCCAGATATAGGCTATGCATAAGCACATATGCATACGTAATCTTTTTTAGAAAGCATAAATGGTAGCATACCAAATACATAAAACAGTACCTATGACAACCAGCAGGTACTCAACACATATTTGTGGATGAATGAACTTCCTATACCTTGCTTTTTTACTTAATATACCTGGGATTTCTTTCCACAGCAATAATTATAGAACTGTGTTATCTTTCTATAGCTGCATCCTACACCATTGTATGGATCTACCTTAGTTTATTTGACCAATATTCTCTTGACAGACTTTTACATTGTTTATAATCTTTTGCCTTAGGAATAATGTTGCAATAAAAAAAATGCATACACTTCTGCAGACAAATATTTACCTGTACTGGGACAAGAAATTTCTAGATGAGGGCCACCAGGCAACAACCTGCATTTAATAAATATTGTCAAGTTGCTCTCCAGAGAGGTTGCACCAATTTCTAGTTCCCCAATATAAAATGAATGATTGTTTCCCTGTCTCCTGTATCCCTTGGAAACACGTTGTTAAAGTTCAAAAAGTTTGATAACAAAATCTGGTAGGTCAAAAACAAAATTTACTTTAAAATTTTAATATTATACTTACTGAGTAAAGTTGAGGATTTTTTTCATGTTTAATTATTTTTTTCTCTGTGAATATTATTCATGATTTTTGGCCATTTTTAAAAATCAGTTGTTCAGGGGCTGGCCCGGTGGCGCAGCTGTTAAGTGCGCACGTTCCGCCTCAGCAGCCCAGGGTTCACCAGTTCGGATCCTGGGTGTGGACATGGCACCGCTTGGCAAGACATGCTGTGGTAGGCATCTCACATAGAAAGTAGAGGAAGATGGGCATGGATGTTAGCTCAGGGCCAGTCTTCCTCAGCAAAAAAGAGGAGGATTGGCAGCAGATGTTAGCTCAGGGCTAATCTTCCTCAAAAAAAAAAAATCGGTTATTCATCTTGTTCTAAGTTATTGTAGAAGCTTTACATGTAGTGCAGATTGCAGAACTTAGCCCTCTGTCTGTTGTATGTATTATAAATTTTCCCTAGTTTGTAGGGTTTTTTTCTGGTATTGCTTATGTTTTTCTTTTCAGGTGGTATTTTTTTATTTTTATGTAGCCAAATTTACCAACTTTTCCTTCTGTAGCTTCCAGGTTTTTTCACATACTTAGAAAACTTATTCCACACCAAGACTATAAAATGTTTTCCTATTTTTTATGAACTTTCATAGATTCATATTTAATACTTAAATATTTTCTTGACCTGAAATTTAGTTTTCTTTAAGGAATAAGATGGAAACTCAACTTAGTATTTTCCCAGTTTCCCCAACACCATTTACTAATTAGCCTTTTCTCCATTGATATGAAATGTCACTTTTATCACATACCACATTCCCATATGGAGTGAATCTCTTTGGTTTTTCTACTTTAAGTTTCATCCATCAGTATGTGCTACCCATATGCCAGCCATACATTATTACAGTAGCTATAAAATGTACATAATATTTGATGGGGTTGTTTCCTCTTTCCTTTTTCGGAATGTTCCTGGATTTCCATGTATTTTTCAAGACAAACTTCATTTATTAAAGCCTACCTTTGTGTCTCTTGGTAACACTCTAAGTTTTCTTCAATTAATTTATCTCATACATTTCTCCTAAAGTTTATGCTTAGGCATTTTTTTCTTTTCTGTAGTTACTGTAGATAAGATCTTTTCTTCATATTTTCTAAAGGACTGTTGTTCAGATAGAATTTTTTGAAATTAATTTTGTATCCAGGAACCTTTACTATTTACAATTTTTAGTGTTTCCCTTGGGTTTTCTAAACACATAATCAAATCATTGGAAATTAATGATGTTTATCTTCTCCTTTTTAAATACTCTATGATCTATTTCTTTCACTTAGCTAAGAGCACAGTTTACATTTTTATCTGGGTCCTGACACTAACAGAAATGCTCATAATTTTTCCCTATTAAGAATCATATCAGTTTTTGAGTTGAAACATATATTTTATCATGTTAAGGAAGTATCCAGCTAATCCTATATCATTAAGAATTATTTTTTTTGTTTACTTTTTAAAATTGAGGTTATGATAGTTTACAACCTTGTGAAATTTCAGTTGTATGTTATTAGTTGCCAGTCATCTTATAGGTGCACCGCTTCACTCTTTGTGCTCAACCCCACCTCGCCCCTTCCCCCTGGCAACCACTAATCTGTTCTCTTTGTCCATGTGTTTGTTTATCTTCCACATATTAGTGGAGTCATACAATTTGTCTTTCTTTATCTGGCTTATTTCACTTAACATAAAACCCTCAAGGTCCATCCAGGTTGTTGTGAATGGGATGATTTTGTCATTTTTTATGGCTGAGTAGTATTCCATTGGATATATATACCATATCTTCTTTATCCAGTCATCAGTCAATGGGCACTTAGGTTGCTTCCACATCTTGGCTATTGTGAACAATGCTGCAATGAACATAGGGGTGTATAAGTCTCTTTGAACTGCTGATTTCAAGTTCTTTGGATAGATACCCAGTAGTGGGATGGCTGGGTCATATGGTATTTCTATTTTTAAGTTTTTGAGGAATCTCCATACTGTTTTCCATAGTGGCTGCACCAGTTTGACTTCCCACCAGCAGTGTATGAGGGTTCCTTTTTCTCCAAAACCTCTCCAACATTTGCTATTTTTTGTCTTGGCTAGTTTAGTCATTCTAACTGGTGTAAGGTGATATCTTAGTGTAGTTTTGGTTTGCATTTCCCCGATGATCAGTGACGATGAACATCTATTCATGAGCCTATTGGGCATCATATAGCTTCCCTGGAGAAATGTCTGTTCATATCCCCTACCCACTTTTTGATCAGGTTGTTTGATTTTTTGTTGTTGAGTTGTGTGACTTCTTTATATATTATGCAGATTAACCCTTTGTCAGTTACATGATTTGCAAATATTTTTTCCAGGTTGGTGGGTTGTCTTTTCGTTTCAATCCTATTTTCCCTTGCCTTGTAGAAGCTCTTTAGTCTGACAAAGTCCCATTTGTTTATTCTTTCTATTGCTTTCCTTGTCCGAGAAGACACAGTGTCTGAAAAGATCATTTTAAGACTGATGTCAAAGAATGTACTGCCTATATTTTCTTCTAGAAGTCTTATGGTTTCAGGTCTTATGTTTAAGTCTTTGATCCATTTTGAGCTTATTTTTGTGAACGGCATTAGAGAATATTCTACCTTCATTCTTTTACATGTGGCTGTCCAGTTTTCCCAACACAAGAATTATTTTTTTAATCAAGTAAGGCTTTTTATTCTCTTCCCAATGTCTGCTGTTGTCTTAAACATCATTAAATTTTAGACAACAATAATAAAAAATACTATTAAGAAATCACCAAGCTATTTCAATTAATGTCCTTATCAAAAACAAACACAGATGAAGATTCATCACTACTATTTCATAATCTATTTATTACCTAAAATATGGCCAGTGGGACAGTGGCATTTGCCTTCTGCAGTTAAACCACTAGGGCAAGAAATGCAGTTCCAGCCATCTCGAGTAACACCTTTCTAAATTAAAAAAAAAAAAAAAAAATTATTTTCTCCTGCTTAATTGATCATATAAGTTCAAAAAGCCACAATAGTGTATAATTAGCAGTCAATATTCAAATAAATCATAAACATATGAACTACATAAAAATCTCCTGGATAGCCAATTTGTGCTTATATTCCAAAATTAAGCTATACATTATTACTATGTATTGATGACTATTAACTCTGGCTAACAGTTCTTTCTTTTTCATGATTTTCAGTTCAAATGAGTCCTTCCTTTTATAATTAAAATTATCACTGAGTCTTTTCCACTTATAAAGAGAAAACACAACAAAATTCACCAAGGTTTTATCAATAAATAGCCCATTAATAGTTTAGTCTTATTTGTTCTAAAATAATTATTCTAATTTTTAAAAATTCAAATACATTAGGTTTTAAAAATTAAGTTATGGGGCCAGCCTGGTGGCGTAGTGGTTAAGTTCATGTACTTTGCTTCAGGGCCCAGGGTTTGCAGGTTGGGATCCTGGGCACAGACCTACACATTGCTCATCAAGCCATGCTGTGGCAGCGTCCCACATAAAAAATAGAGGAAGACTGGCACAGATGTTAGCCCAGTGACACTCTTACTCAAGCAAATAGAGGAAGATTGGCGATAGATGTTAGCTCAGGGCCAGTCTTCCTCACAAAAAATAAATAAATAAATAAGTTCTGATTAAAAATGGGTGAGTTTTATGGCATATAAATTATATGTAAATATAAAGTTGTTAAAATTAAATTATGACATTTCCTTCTACCCATTAATAGTTTGCACTAATAAAGATTTTCAATAAATATGACATCATTAAAAATTGGGTTATTACATTATATTGTTTAGGAAAAACCTGGGGTAAAAATATAGTAATTATAATACAAACATGGATGTAACCAAAATTGATAGAAAACAATGACAATAACAAAACAATGCCACAAATTATTTTAAATTTTAGTTGAAAAGACTGGATATATCAAGAAATGCTCTTATATTTGGCACTACATTAATATAGGACTATTAAAAAATTATGATAGCTTTGTAAAGTCACTGAAAAATAAACCTGCTTTGGCACCATTTCATATTAGTGACATTTTTATCATTGGCAATTCAGCTGGGGTCAATATTTTTAAAAATATAAAATAATTATCAAAATGGTCATCACATCTATAAGTACTAGCCATAAATTAGGACAACCGGTAATTTTATATTAACTTCCCAGATTGAATTTTTTTTAATACAGATAATGAGAAGAAACATTACTATAAAAGTCAGAACTGGCACACAGAGACTCCTAATTACCCAAAATGATGGAAAATGTATTTCTGTTAATTAAGAATCATCATTTACAGTAACTATTAGTTTACTAACTTTCAAAAATTATGATATAATAAAATGACCAGAATACAGCAACAAATATTATTTAACATATTTAGTGATGCAACTGGCATTTCATGGACTTATCACACCTTAGATATCATTATGAACACGAATTATCATATAAAACTATTGACATAATAAGTCTAGGATACTAAATTCATTCTGTACCAAAGGATACACACATCCCATATTTGCTCTATATATGTATCATTTATCTATTTTTCTTTATATTTGAGTTACTCTAAGAAGAAAAATAAAGACATACAAATTTTCACAGCTTTGTGGTTTTTTGGATTCCAGATTTTGAAAACCAAAGCAATATATTTCTGTTTTTTCAAAGTTTGCATAAAATTTCACTTACCTACCAAAATTTATTCAAGTAAAACCAAAGTTAGCTTAATAATTGCAAAGTTTGTGGGAAAATATGAGAGTGCAGCATTGTTAAAGTTTAAAAAATAAAGACATTTAATTTACTTTTTAATAGTAAAATTATTTAAAAATAAATACTCCATACCATGTTTTCTGGGCACTTTTTACAAATAATATCAGGTCCTCCATTATTAGAGATCACCTGAAATCCTGGTAGACACACACATGAAGTTCCTAAAAAGAAAAGAGTCAACTTTGACCTTGGTAAACAAAAATAAAACTCCAAGATTCTGAACCTTTTAATAATTCTTAAGATCTTGAAAAGTAGTATATTAGTTACGAGCAAGACTCTAGAGCCAGTACCTCTTGGCTTCAAATGCAGAAACATATTTCTAGGGTTCTAATCTTGATTCTGCTACTTAGTTGTGTGACCTTGAGCAAGTTACTGAACTTCTCTGTGCCCTGGCTTCCACTTGGGTAAAATGAGGACAACAGTATCTACCTCACAGGGTTAGTATGAGTATTAGTTACGTATGTTATGTATTAGTTAAGTATGTATATGTATTAGTTACATATTAGTATGTACAGGTCTTAGAGTATGTCTGCCACACAGTAGGTATTGTGTTTGCTATCATTTTAAGTGCGAGCATAACTAATCTATTAAATTATTGGACTATTAAACTAATAAACTATTGATTTATTGCTATGGGAAATTTTACATTTCTATTTCACCCAAACATACACATACACTCAATGAATTCAAATTTACTTTGTCCAAACAAAACCTTATCAGGAAAGTCACCTTGATTCAAATAAAAAGCACTGTTTTCCTTTGTTTGGACAGATAATAAACACTATAAAAAAAATAACTATTGAACTTGCTGGATAGGTACGGATGTCATTCTCTAAGAAGACATAAGGTGGAATAGCACCCATAGGAATCTATGTGATAGAATGCATATGACATCTGGGTTCATAGTGATGAAACTAACACCTTACACTGGAGAGTCTGTGCAATGCTTTCTCATTCATATTTCCTCAGCTGAGGAGCCTGACCTGTCCTATACCATGAATTACATGAGGATATATCATATTTGAAGATGGCAGCAAGTAAGTACTATGGGTGACTAAATTGAGATTAAAAATATCTTAGACTTTAGAATATGGGAAAAGTCTTATTCTGAGCTGTGCAGTGAGAACTACAATCAAACGATGGACGTAACAAGAAAAAAAAACTTAAAGCTTAATCTAAAGAGATTTTAAGGGCAATTAGTAATATTCAACAATAAAATGGATAAGTCCTAAGGAAATCCATAATATTAAGAACACACTATATAGTGGAAATACATAGTTGGAGACTCAGAGCAAAGAGACACTTACAGAGTCTTCCAGTCTCAATGTGGGGGACACAGAAGACATTATAATCTCATCTGGGCTCCCATTTCCCAATCTGTAAAATTAGATGATTGGACCTAATCATGGTTAAGGTCCCTTCCAGCTCTTAGCTCTGGAATTTGAAAAGCAAGATAAAGGGCTGTTCAGGGCAGCCGGTGAAGTTCATACGCTCCTCTTCGGGGCGGGGTTCGCGGGTTCCGATGCCAGGCATGGGCCTACGCACCTCTCATCAAGCCATGCTGTGGCGGCATCACACATACAAAATAGAGGAAGATTGGCACAGATGTTAGCTCAGCGATAATCTTCCTCAAGCAAAAGAGGAAGACTGGCAAAATGTTAGCTCAGGGCCAATCTTCCTCATCAAAAAAAGAAAAAAAAGAAAAAGGCCTATAAAGTTCACAAACACTAATTTGCATTCCTTCCCCAATCTGTCCTGTCTCTTGCTCCTCTGCACCTCAGATTACTTCTCTATTTCTTCTCCATCGTCGGTGGGCGGCTTTCCAGGTGCCTCCCTAAAGACCCTTCGGACAGGAGTTGGAGACTGGCGCCCAGAAATCAATTACTGGCGAAGGCTCACGGGGTAGCGGACTCGGGAGTCCCCAACCTCGTTAGCGTGCAAGCTGCAATGTTCCAAGGAGATTCTTCTCTCAGGGGCAAGCGGTTAACTTTCCTGAAACATTCTTCCCGCAGCCGCAAACGCGTTTCCGCGACGCCGGGCTCCGGGAGCCGCGCCGCGGCGGGAGAGTGACTGTGGCCGGGCCCACCCCGCCCCGCCTCACCTCGGTTGTCCTGCCGCTGGTTGGCTCCACACGAGACACAGGACAGCGCGGAGATATCGAAGTACTGGTTGTGGCCGCACGTCTCCGGCTCCTGGAAAGGTAAGGAGAAGGTCTGGGCCTGTGAGACGCGAGGAAAGACCAACAGGAGGAACGCAGTCACAGCCGCGGAGGGTAACGGCAACCAAGCCGCCATGTCCGCTCCAGCGCCGCTGCCGCCCGTCACCATGGTGCAGACGCCGGCGGCTGTAAGCCCCATCAGCCTCTGCGGCGAGCCGGCAGAGCCGATTGGACAAACCCCGCCTGGGGTTCCAGCAGCATCTGCCTGCGCCGCCTGGTTGCTAGGTTACCAAAGCCGCAGGAAGCTGCCTTGTCTGAAAAAGCGTGGGTTAGAGGCATGCTACCCCTGGATCCTGCAGGCGCGATGGGCTATTTAAAACCTTTGTTTCAAACTCTGGGACGCGACCCATTAGCGGGCCGTGAAATCAATTTAGGAGGTCAGGAAACAGCATACCACAGCAAAGAAAGTATCTGATTGTATCACAAAATTAAGAGTAAGTATTGTTTCATTAAACTGCTGAATGATATTTACATCAGAATTTATCCAGATTAAGTCTTGGTAAGGGAGACATTCCGACAGTGTATTTGTCAAAATATATTTGTCAGAAAGGTGGGGAAAACACCGATTTGAAGTATGCAGTGCTGGAAGATTGGCTCAAGCACAAAAAAAAGATCTTCCTGCCAGACCTTTCTTTGTGCTTCTACTTTCCTTGTTTTGAACATAGGAAATCATGTATATAAAATGAAATAATCTTTACCCCACTTGTTAGTAAAGAAGGAACCTCATTTTTTAGATCAAATTTACACATACGTAAATGTTGTCTTTCAAAGTAGGCACCCATGGAGGCTGTTAGCCCCAAAACATTTTAGAATTACCTTCAGATCCAGTTTATAGGTCACAAAAGAAAAATTTATTCCTTAACATTTAAGTCTCACTTCTGTTTTTGTTGTATTTTGTTTGTTTGAGTATTCTATTTTGTCCTCCTCCCCCCCTTTCCCAGTAAAATCACCCAACAAAATTTTGTCACCTTTTTCATCAGTAGTAGCTTGAAATGACTTTAGGCTTTCTCAAAAAAACAAGTTTTGTAATAAAAATGATGATTTGTCCCTATTAAGGAAAACGCACACACACATAATATTCTCAATGCATGTGGAAGATGCATCTAAGGAAGCTACATAACTTTAACAATTAGCTACCATTAGGCCTAGTGTTTCTCATGTGACCTTCCCCCAAAAAACAACATTCACTCAGTCACTAATATCTATGACACAGGAGGTGTATGTTCTGCAAACTCTTCCTTAAAGAGGAATTCTAAAAAGTGTTTTTTGAGTAATTACTGTGTTGTTGGAGTGTCTAATTTGAAGTGGAAATCACTTACCTGAATACAATTTTTTAAAAAACGTGTGACTATATAGATGTTAATGGGGACTCAGAAAGGGTATGGTCAGAATAGTTGAGATTAATCTGCAGAAGCTTCCTACAGGTGGATTTTAACTCTAGTCTTCCTTAATGAAGTACATACTGTTATATGCTCAGTAGAAGGGATTAGGGCAATAATATTTACTCATCACCTACTATATGATTAAAGCAATAAAAGAGTTCCCATTCATAATGGTCTTCTTTGTGTCCCACACTATGCACTGTGCTAGGCACTTAACAGCATTAACCTTAACTCTTTGTAATAACTCTTTGAGGGAATACTATCCCTTTTTTGTATCCTTTTATCAAAAAAACCCTGAGGATCAGAAAAGTTACATTTTAGGAAGTGGTGAAACTAGAATCTATCTCTACCTGGCCAACTCCAAAACCTGTTATCTTTTTACTCTATTAAGAGGCTTCTTTGTGGAATAGGTAGAGAAAATTTTTGGTATATTCTACATGTAGGACAAGCCTATTGTGTTTAATTAGCAAGATGATATTGCCATAATATACCACAGACAGTTGAACGATGGTTATCTAAGACCTTTGGGCACTGCACCTAACAAAACTGCCCCAAAGAGCTAAATAGAGAGCTTATTTGTAGGAGAACAATTCAAAATAGACACAGTTAAGTTTGAGATAACTGTAAATACTATAGATTTGTCTGTATAAATTGCCTACAAGGATGGGAGAAAGAATGTTAGCTAAAACTGTTAAGCATAAATTGGGACTGTATCTTTAGGGATATTTTTGCTGCAGGTAATGGAAGATCAGGTAGTTTAAGCCAGTTCACAACGGCTTAAACAAAAACAAATCTGAGAAGTCTGGAGGTAGGTGGCTGCTGGTGTTCATTCAGTGATGTCAGATAGTCATCTCTGCGGCCCTCTTGGCTTTTCCCTCTTAGTTGCAGTGTGAATGCCTTATACCAAATATCAAAATTCAGATTTAGGATGGGAAGAAGGAAAGGAGCTGAACCAGAGATGTTTTCTCTGTCTCTTTAATCAGGAAAGCTCATATTTTCTCTACGCCATGTATTGTGCTAAACTTCTTATATACAGCATTTCAGTCTTTTTAACAACCCTGTAAACAGGTAGTACAGTTATCCCCGTATATCAAGCTTAAAGACATGCCAAGAATCATCCAGCTAAAATGTGGAAGAGTTATACATAGAAGTGGATGTGACTCAGAGAACATGGTTTAATGTCAGCTTAGGAAGAAGGGTACCAAAAAGAGTAAGAGAATGGGTTCAAAGAAGATAACAAATGCTTATTGAACACCTAGAATGAGATGGGCACTGCATCATTCTTTACCTACATTATCAAAATTCATCCACTCAACAACCTTATGAAACCTGTAGAATTGTTATCATCTCAGTTTTATGTGTGATTAAATGGAGGCACAAAGAGATTTTTAAAAATTTACCTAAATGCACAGCTTATACTTTACAGACACAAACTTTGAATTATGGCATTTTAACTCTTGGGGCTGCTTAACCACAATGCTATGCCCCCAATAGTATAAATGCTGCAAAAAAGTCAAGGAGGCTGAGGATGGAGAAAAAGTCTTCAGATTTGGCAATTAGGTGATCATTAGTTACCTTTTTGAATGGAGTTTCGTTACAGTGGGGGGTAGAAGCAAGCCATAGAGCAGTAGTGAGAAAGAATAAGCACCAGATATAAGCTATTTTGAGGAACTTTGCATTGAAAGGAAGTCAAAAGAAGCGACTGAGCTAAAAGAATTTTTACTTTTTTTTTAGGATAAGGAGAATGTAAGTGGAAAGGGAAGGAGTAGTAAAAGAGAGGTTCAAAATAAAGAGAGGAATAATTGACTCTCTCTTGAGCTCCTGGGAAGGGGTCAAGAACTTGGATATAAGAGTGAGAGAAGGACAATCTCAGGGGAAGAGAGTCATTCTTTCTCAGATTGGAAGGAAAGAGGAAGATGAGTGAAGCCATAAAGAAATCCTGGGCTGGGGAGCAGAGAAATTGAAGAAAATCAGTTTCTCAAGTAAAGAACATGGGTAAAAGTAGGAAATATTTTGAAAAGGCAGAGTGAATAATTGGAAGGGAAATCATTTAGAGATGAAAATTGGCAGCAAGTCTAGATCTTGGCTGCAAGGCTAGAGCATGTTGGAGCAGGTGCAGATAGGGGATGGGCCAGGAAATTTCTAGGGTCAAGGTGAACAGTTTGTGGAGAAAATGAGTGTAGTTTGGTTATGTTGAGCGAGTTACCTACTTAGGTAGAGAGGTACAGCAGAAATAGAGGTAGAGGTCTAGTGCTTGATGAAGAGGTTGGAACTAGAAATGGGAATCATCTGGAGTGTTCCAAAGACTATTGTGTTTTGAATCTCCAAGCTGAGTTAAGACAGGCATAATCATTAGGAAAGAGAGCCGTAGGCGAGAAGTAAGAAGGTAGCTCATCTTTGGCAGGCAGTTCAATAATTTTTCAAACATTTATTGAGCACATGTATGAGTAGACACTTGTTAGGGACAAGAGCTATCATGGTGCTTTTCCTCTGGGGTCTCATAATCTAGTAGAGAAATAGACATGGAAACAACCCATTAAAATACGTTCAGATAACTACTCTAATTGAGACTGTAGAATTGGAAGATGGGATTAACCATGCCTTAGGGAATGGAAAGTCACAGAGAAGGAGATATTGTAGGACAGGACAGGCAGAGGGATAAGAGGGACCAGAGTGAGCAGGCACACTGGGGAATGGTATGTATCCCTGTATCCCTGAGGTGTAGGGTGAGTGGCCAGTGGCAGGAGATGAGGTTGGAGAAGTAGGAAGGAATAAAAATGAAGGCTCTTGGGGCCGGCAAGGTGGCGTACTGTTTCAGTTCGTGGGCTCTGCTTCAGCAGCCTGGGGTTTGCCAGTTTGGATCCTGGGTGCAGACCTACACACAGCTTATCATGCCATGCTGTGGCAGTCATCCCACATATAAAATAGAGGAAGATGGGCACAGATGTTAGTTCAGGGCTAAACTTCCTCAAAAAAAAAATAAAATGAAGGCTCTTGAATGCCTATATTTGTCTACGATGTTTTCAAGCTTGTTAAGACTCTAAGTTAGGGAATAACATGATCAGGTTTGAATTTTAGAAAATATCTTGGAAAAGAGGTATATGGAAACCTCTAGAGATAGAGATCACTTGGGAAGCTAAAGCAGAAGTCTAGGGTCTAAATTAGGGCAATGGAAGAAGGGAGAGGCAGGAGAGGATGGATGAAATAACTGTTTAGAAGGAAGAATCATGAGAATTTTATGACTTGGACAGAGGATGTAAAGAAGCAGAGACAAGGATCCCTCCCAGTTTCTAATTTGGTTGGCTGGGTGGATTGTGACATTACAGGAAGATAAGAAATACCTGAGGCCAATAAAAGCCTCTTACTGAATAAAGAAAAAAAATTAAAGGTAGAAATTAAAGCTATAGCAATTATCTAATATGTTGGTAGGAGTTAGGGCCATGGATAATAATTGATATTAATTGCTTGCTTTCCATGTGTCAGTCACTGAAATATCTCATTTGATAAAATTGGGACCATTATCATCACCTTTACTTTACAGATGAGAAAACCAAGACTTAGAAGGCATGTATGACTTCCTAAGGTCACACTCAGATCATGATTCTGACCCTGGCAATTTGATACCAGAGCCCATACTCTTAACCCTGATTCTTTACTGCTGCTCTGGAATCTGTAGATGTGCTTTCCTGAACATTAATTTTTTAAAAAGGGATTGGGCCAGCCCCAGTGTCCTAGTGGTTACAG